GAAGGGGAGAGAGAGAGAGAGAGACAGAGATAGATAGATAGATAGATAGATAGATAGATAGATAGACAGGTAGACAGCTAGACAGATGAAGGGGAGAGAGAGAGAGAGAGACAGAGATAGATAGATAGATAGATAGATCGATAGATAGATAGATAGGTAGATAGGTAGATAGGTAGATAGGTAGATAGGTAGATAGGTAGATAGGTAGATAGGTAGATAGGTAGATAGGTAGGTAGGTAGGCAGGTAGATAGTCAGAGAAAGAGAGAGAAATAGTGAGAGAGATCAATCACCTTTTGCTCCATCAGTGGCTTCGCTCTGCCATCCCTGATTCACAGCAACCAACCTCTCCTATAGGTTTCCTATTTTTGAAACTTCCGCCACCGCCTTGTGCGGTACTACTGGTATAACTACGTATAGATATGATATATCTACCATAAAAAGGAATTATAAACCAATTCAGTTTAGCTATCCAACCCCCATCCCATTGAATCCCATGAAACGCCTATTGTTAAGGGTGAAATCCACCATTAGATCCCATGAAGTCCCTCTTGTTGAGGGTGAAATTCCCATGACATCCAATTAAATCATCACTACATACCTTGTAGCATATCTCCAGCCCTTTCTTCCAGCCATGGCCAGTCGGGACCGGCGAATCGCGCTCCAAGTCGTACACAGGTGCATTGCTGGCCTCTCATGGTGTGTCAATGGGGATTAACCCCACAATGATGGCCAGTTTAATGGTGGATTTGCCCCCTTAACAATGGGAATTTAATGGCATGGCAGATTTAACCCTTAACAACAGGGATTGAATGGGATCTGATGGTACATTTCACCATCAACGATAGAGATTTAATGATGATCTACTGGGATTTATCACTAACCATAGTTATATACCCTGTGGCCATTTTAATTTGGATAATGATGACTAACGAGTGGATGGCATGGAAGGATTTAGGGGTACCCTGTTTTCAGAGAAATCTATGTGAGTTTTCAAAGGGAAAAAACGTCCCGTGAAGTGATGCATTGCGTTTGGATGAATGCCAAGTGACAGGGAAGTGAAGGCCATTTCCGCAGCCGAGTTGATCAAGGAAAAGTGGCCGACAGCCTCGGAGACAAGTAAAGCCCATCATGGCCAACCCAAAGGTCTTCTTTGCTTGGGCCTCAGCGTGCTGAGTAGATGCCAAGACTTGAAACAAACCTGAACAGCTAAAGAGAAATTGGAACAAACCAAGTTGAGACAAGCTCGGTATTGTGATAGATTGCAATGTATATGGTCCTCACCACAATCTGCTCAGCTGTCTTCCCTTCCAAAGGACATGACCATCGGTGGTACCGCAGCGGGCCGTATCACCATGGAGCTGCGCGCAGATGTGGCCCCCAAGACTGCGGAGAACTTCCGAAGCCTCTGCACCGGCGAGAAGGGCATGGGCAAGTCCGGCAAGCCCTTGCACTTCAAGGGCAGCGCCTTCCATCGTGTGATCCCCGACTTCATGTGCCAGGCAAACTGGGAAAACGATGAAAAAGGATAAAAAAGGATGGAAAAGGATAAAAAAGGATGGAAAAGGATTTTATAGGAAGACGTGATGTTTTGGGTATGTTTAGTATTTTGGTTAGGCTTGCACCTGCCCTTCACTCGACTCGGTCCCGAGGGTGGAGACTTCACCGCGGGGAACGGTACCGGTGGCGAGTCTATCTACGGCGCGAAGTTTGCCGATGAGAACTTCACCCTGAAGCACACAGGCCCTGGCATTTTGTCCATGGCTAACGCAGGGCCCAACACCAACGGATCCCAATTCTTCCTGTGTACCGTGAAGACTCAGTGGTTGGATGGAAAGCACGTGGTCTTTGGAGCAGTCACAGATGGCATGGACGTAGTGAAGAAGATTGAGGCTGTGGGATCTCAGTCCGGCAAGACCTCCAAGCCTGTGGTCATTGCAGACTGTGGCCAACTGGCTTAGGTGCCAACTCGAAGCCAACTGGCTGGCATAGCCAGGTTTTGAGGGAAGTAGCACAGATTGCATTTCCAGATATATCTCAGATGTTTCTTTTGGCGAGATGCACAAACCGTGTGCCGCAAGTGCCAGGGAAAACAGCAGCTGTCAATGGAGGGTCGAGGGTCAGAGTCGTTGCTGGAGGATAGTGCCGTTTTTTTCGGGCTCATGATCTGGAGAGGCATGCTGGAACAGCGTCAGATGAGACTTACAATCCATACATCAACAATAGTCCAGCATATAGTCATTAGATCAGCTAATGTTGACATCTTGGTCCACCCAAGCTGCCATTTCCGCAGCCGAGTTGATCAAGGAAAAGTGGCCGACAGCCTCGGAGACAAGTAAAGCCCATCATGGCCAACCCAAAGGTCTTCTTTGCTTGGGCCTCAGCGTGCTGAGTAGATGCCAAGACTTGAAACAAACCTGAACAGCTAAAGAGAAATTGGAACAAACCAAGTTGAGACAAGCTCGGTATTGTGATAGATTGCAATGTATATGGTCCTCACCACAATCTGCTCAGCTGTCTTCCCTTCCAAAGGACATGACCATCGGTGGTACCGCAGCGGGCCGTATCACCATGGAGCTGCGCGCAGATGTGGCCCCCAAGACTGCGGAGAACTTCCGAAGCCTCTGCACCGGCGAGAAGGGCATGGGCAAGTCCGGCAAGCCCTTGCACTTCAAGGGCAGCGCCTTCCATCGTGTGATCCCCGACTTCATGTGCCAGGCAAAATGGGAAAACGATGAAAAAGGATAAAAAAGGATGGAAAAGGATAAAAAAGGATGGAAAAGGATTTTATAGGAAGACGTGATGTTTTGGGTATGTTTAGTATTTTGGTTAGGCTTGCACCTGCCCTTCACTCGACTCGGTCCCGAGGGTGGAGACTTCACCGCGGGGAACGGTACCGGTGGCGAGTCTATCTACGGCGCGAAGTTTGCCGATGAGAACTTCACCCTGAAGCACACAGGCCCTGGCATTTTGTCCATGGCTAACGCAGGGCCCAACACCAACGGATCCCAATTCTTCCTGTGTACCGTGAAGACTCAGTGGTTGGATGGAAAGCACGTGGTCTTTGGAGCAGTCACAGATGGCATGGACGTAGTGAAGAAGATTGAGGCTGTGGGATCTCAGTCCGGCAAGACCTCCAAGCCTGTGGTCATTGCAGACTGTGGCCAACTGGCTTAGGTGCCAACTCGAAGCCAACTGGCTGGCATAGCCAGGTTTTGAGGGAAGTAGCACAGATTGCATTTCCAGATATATCTCAGATGTTTCTTTTGGCGAGATGCACAAACCGTGTGCCGCAAGTGCCAGGGAAAACAGCAGCTGTCAATGGAGGGTCGAGGGTCAGAGTCGTTGCTGGAGGATAGTGCCGTTTTTTTCGGGCTCATGATCTGGTGCTGGAACAACAGCGGCAGATGATAGTGAACTGATGATTCAAAACGTCGTATCAAGTGTGATTGGATCGGAAACAACAATTGACCCCATCATTGGAGGATTATCAAATTTCACGGAATGGTTGTATTGTCAATGGGAATTTCAGGATCCTAAAATGGAGGTACTGTACGATATAAGGTCATATTTTGCTGGGATATATCCTTACATAGGCCTTATATAGGCCTTATATATGGTAGGTACCTCCAATTTAGGTTCCTGAAATGGCCATTGATATTGACACAGGCAAACCAACATGTTCATATTTGTTTGGCTGTGGTGCGAGGTCCCACTGAACGATCTTGGAGCCAGGACCTTGGGAGTGCCCAATATCTGCAAGTAACTTGTTGAGATTCGAGATTTGAGATTGCCCAGTCCAATGCAAAATGGCAGGGCATTTCTATGCAACCAGAAAATTTCAGTCACATGTCAAATGGTGGAAACAATTACCACCACTGTTGGGTCTGATTTGAACAATCCACAAGAAAACGAAGGTTCAATCTCAAAACATGGTGGCGGCGCCTGTGGAGCGACCGCGCTCTTCCATGTTTTTCAGAGGCCGTTTTAGAGGTTCAAAGCACAATTCCCTGTAAAACGCAGGACTTTATTCATGAACCTTGCTCGATCGATGTTAAAAAATGGTTCAAAAACATTGGAGGCGCGCCTCAAAATTAACTTCGTGTCGTTTTCGCTGTAGCGAAAACGCGATTTTTGGAAAAAATGGATTTCGAAAACATATTCCCGAAACACATTCGAAGCTTTTTTACATCTGCGGTCTGCTCACTTCCAGTATCCGATCTTCTTGTTGATCGATTTCATGAGTTTTCCAAGTTCCTGCAGTAAATCCAAGCCAAGTCCAATTTTGTGGTGTTTCCACTGCCAAACCCACACATATTTGTTGAATTGCAACTTCAATTGGTCTCCTGTCAGCTGACGTGTTGAGAGTTGTCTTGGCAAGGAAGACTTCAAACCATCCCAAATTCGATCCAACACCTGGGTTCCACCAATTCTTCACATGAAGTTACTTCAACATCTTCACAACGTAGCATCCAGAGCGTCCCTGAAGTTACTTCAACATCCTCACAACGTAGCATCCAGAGCGTCCCTGAAGTTACTTCAACATCTTCACAAGGTAGCATCCAGAGCGTCCCTCAAGTTATCAACATCTTCACAACGTAGCATCCAGAGCGTCCCTGAAGTTACTTCAACATCTTCACAACGTAGCATCCAGAGCGTCCCTGAAGTTACTTCAACATCTTCACACGTAGCATGCCGTAGCATCACATCCATCCGGCAGCCGACATGAACGTTATTAGCCCACCCCATCCCCCCCCCACCCCACCCCATTTGAAGTTACTTCAACATCTGAACGACGTAGCATGTAGCATCACATCCTTCCGGCATGAACGTGAAACCCCCCCACCCCACCCCATGGACGAGCGATTGAAACAGGACGAACATCCCCAAGAACCAGACATTCACGTCAAATCAACATGAAAACATTAAGACCAACTCAAGATCACATGGTAATATTTACAACAGTGCGGTCGCCTGAGAGGCGCCGTCACCCAAAACATCCATGGTTGAATAACTGAAACCCTCTCATATTTTCTGATATAGGCGTTAATCACCATGGTAAGTGGTTGGAAAATACGCATGGATTGCACAAATCCACTGACAACAACCCACCCAGACATGGACATACATTCATGGATTACTAGGGATTGTGGAGCAGTCCTGGCCATGTGAAATTGAGGTGATGCCAGGGAACACTCGAGTTGATCATGTCAGGGATGCTCAGTGGAAAATGGCAATTACCAAACTTGGGATTTTTGGGCCATTTTAATTTGCACAGCTCACGCCATTTCATAGGAAATCCCAATCAGGAAATTGAGTCCTTTACCATCCTTTACCATCCTTTACCATCCTTTACCATCCTTTACCCAAGTACGCACTCTTCATTCTTTTGTTAGTGGCTTGGTGGCTTGCGTGAAACTTTGATTTGCAGCAAAATTGTAAAACCTCATTTGGATCCTGACTCTGAGATGCGCCTTGAGAGGATCCATGGGGTTATTCACCCTGTAAACTTTTGATTTTTTCATGCCCAGGGATGGGTATTTGAAGGTATTGGTATGTATTTGGTAGATATTGGGATTTGGGACCAAAACTAAGTCCCAACTAGGTAACTAGGTAGCCCAACATATCGATTAGATTGTTCTCTTGGTATCCCATAGGTGATAAAGCTGCTCACTTGAACTTTGATCCGTAGCACAAGGAAGTCCTTGAATTTTGCCGGCCGGTGTGTGCACGGAGCCCACTTCCCAATTTATATCCAGCTGGCGTATGCCGACGAGGATGGCACTGACAAACCATTCGCCCTGCGGTAATGGAACCTGGCAATGGCAAATTCCCCATTTACTCTAAATTATTTTCAGTTTGAACCGGGGATTTTCATTTCTGTGTTGATAAATTATCATTTTCACTGGTTTGTAATAACTTGTAGTCCAAAACACAACCGAACACAACTGGGATGTGTTCTCCCCGAGGATTGCACTACTGGATATGGCCCTTGGGTTTCACGTTACAAGCCAGAAAAAACATGGTAGAGAGATATATATATAGATAAATGTTATATAATTATATATCCTACCTTTATGATGGATAACATACTGTATTTCCACACACTACAGATAGGTTCCCGAAGATGATTTTGCTGGATATGGCCCACCTGTTAGCTTCAATATGATCAATGCCCAGCTGCAAAGGGCAAATTCAAAAAGCCCCACTTTTTTGCTGGTTCAAAATGCCATGAAATACCTCTGACATCTCTATTTTGGACCGTGAAATCCCATAAAATCCCATTAAATTCATTTCTCGGGCGATTCCGGGCACTTTTCCTTGGACAAGCCGAGTTTCGCCAGGCGTGGCGCCCCTCGCATGAAGCCCACCAACGTGCGCAGCACGGTGGTGTCCAGCAGCGAAGCGAGGTGGCCTGCGAACCGTTGGCAACTGGAATAATGTGGTTACAATGCCAGAAACCACCCATTTGGGGACGGTTTAGATTTATGGTGATGACTGGGGGATGGTTTATTATTGTTTTACCACCATTAACCATCATTAACCCCTAGTCTTAAAGACCCCACAGAAACCATGGTTTAATCGGGGATGAAACCACATCTTTGGGACCAAAATTTTGGGCGTGTCTAATATTAGGGGGATGGGAATATGTATATTTGGTCTCAAGTCGTAATTTGGAATTCATGCGGGTACACTTATCTGAGCATACCAAAGTTTGTGAAGGGTTACAATCTATCAATTCCGTCTTTATGTCAAACAAATCCTTGGTTAGAACTTGCGTCACCGTTTGCGCAAGAATATGTTGGAATGTATCCCAGTTGTAAGGGATTGCCACATAGCTACTAAGCAGTTGCCCACTTCAAGAATCATCCGACAGCGCGCACGGCACCCGATCTTGAACCCCTAACTCGCAGCATGCGCTTGAGTTAGATGATCAATGTGTCCTTCCACAAAATGGGACCCCAGAATTTTCAGAATGTTTAGCCCCCAATTCCAGAAGAGGTCCAGAAGAGAACGGGACCCCAAAAATGAAAGAATAGAAAAACAGACAGAACGGCCCATTTGTGATCTTTATGATCTCCCCATTTGTGGCTTTGTCTGAGAATGGGGTACCCCATTCCATCGACTGGTTTATCATCATTTTCCCACTTTTATCTATGTGGAAAACCAAGTGGAAATTTTATTTACGTAAATATATACCCCTTTCTCTGACAGATCCAAATACTTAAGGTTGGTGATATAAATATATATATATGATATATATATAATATAATATAATATAATATGATATAATATAATATAATATACAGCACCCGACAGAATTATGGAAAAAAAAACGTTTCAATTTACAGGCGCCGCCTGTCTATGATAGAAAAGTTACGAACCTTTTTTTTTCCATAATTATTGTTTCCATAATTTTTTTTTTCCATAATTCTGTCGGTGACTGTATGTCCATCGATTCGCAATTTGAATGCATTTTAAGGGGGAATATTGAATTATAGAAAATATGTGTCTAAAGATCTGGTATATGCCCCTAAGTCTTCCATTGATATACATAATATCATGTGATGTTCGCAATTTGAATGCATTTTAAGGGGGAATATTGAATTATAGAAAATATGTGTCTAAAGATCTGGTATATGCCCCTAAAGCCTGCCATTGATATACATAATATCTGGATGTTTCCTTTTGCCAAGCCTTCAATTGGGTTGATACTGCATACTTGCATTTGCATACATATTTCCATAACCCCCAAAAAAAAACGGGTTTGAATTGTGGATCCATGACATGTCCAACAGGTGGAGCCCCAAACATTAATTATGGAAAAAATAATTATGGAAAAAAATAATTATGGAAAAAAATAATTATGGAAAAAACGGTCAATCTGCCCTAGCCCCCTGATTTCACAGGAAAAATCAATTATGGAAATAATGGCCACCTCCAAGAATTATGGAAAAAAAAAGGTTCGGATCACTTCCGGGATATTTTGAACCCTTATGGGGAAAAATCCAATTATGGAAAAATCGGACGCAGGCGCCGCCTGTCTAAGTTGAACGTTTTTTTTTTCTCCATAATTCTGTCGGTTCCCATAATAGAAGAGAGAGACGAGAGAAGAGAGATGAGGAGAGAGAAGAGAGAAGGAACTGAGAGAGAGAGGAGATAGAGAGCAGATGAGAATGCAGGGGAAGCAGAGACAATGAGAGAGAAGAGAGAGAGAGAGAGAGACAGAAGAGAGAGACAGAAGAGAGAGAGAGAAGAGAGAGAGAGAAGAGAGAGCAAAACAAAAGAGAAAACGAGAGAGAAGAGAAGAGAGAAGAGAAGAGAGAAGAGAAGAGAGAAGAGAAGAGAGAAGAGGAGAGAAGAGAATAGAAGAGAAGAGACGAGAGGAGAGGAGAGAAGAGGAGAGAAGAGAGAAGAGAGAAGAGAGAAGAGAGAAGAGAGAAGAGAGAAGAGAGAAGAGAGAAGAGAAGAGAGAGAAGAGAAGAGAGAGAAGAGAAGAGAGAGAAGAGAAGAGAGAGAAGAGAAGAGAGAGGAGAGAAGAGAGAGGAGAGAAGAGAGAAGAGAGAAGAGAGAAGAGAGAAGAGAGAAGAGAGAAGAGAGAAGAGAGAAGAGAGAAGAGAGAAGAGAGAAGAGAAGAGAAGAGAAGAGAGAAGAGAGACGAGAAGAGAAGAGAGAAGAGAGAAGAGAGAAGAGAGAAGAGAGAAGAGAGAAGAGACAAGAGACAAGAGAAGAGAAGAGAGAAGAGAGAAGAGAGAAGAGAGAAGAGAGAAGAGAGAAGAGAGAAGAGAGAAGAGAGAAGAGAGAAGAGAGGAGAAGAGAGAAGAGAGGAGAAGAGAGAAGAGAGGAGAAGAGAGAAGAGAGGAGAAGAGAGAAGAGAGGAGAAGAGAGAAGAGAGAAGAAGAGAGAAGAGAGAGGAAGAGAGAAGAGAGAGGAAGAGAGAAGAGAGAGGAAGAGAGAAGAGAGAAGAGAAGAGAGGAGAAGAGAAGAGAAGAGAAGAGAGAGAGAGAGAAGAGAAGAGAGAAGAGAGATAAATATATATAATATATAATATAATATAATAATATAATATAGAATATAGATGACATATATATATATATGAGATATATTATATATATTATATATAATGTATATTATATATATAATATATATATATATTATACTATATATACTATATATATATATCTCATATATATATATAATATTATATATTATATATATTTTATATTATATATATTATATTATATATATAATATACATTATATATATAATAATAATATATATATATATATACATATCCCATGATCTCCCCCTTTAAATCCCTATTGCTGGTGGCTAAAATCCTTTTACCGTTGCCAAAGCCTCATGTCAGGCGCCACGACCTTCTGTGCAGGGCAACCAGGCACGTTCTCTGCCGAATGACATAACAGATTCCGCGCAATAGTTTTGAATATCCACTTCCGTTTATTTTAGTGGGTTGCCATTCCTAACCATTATGCAAAAAACAGTGGATATTGGAAATTCTACTCAGTAGTTTGGACTTTAGAGTTGCTGTATGGTCCAAACTACCAAGGTAACCATTGATCCTAATAGTTAGTCGTGCAAAACACCAGGGCGCTTTCGTCGGTTGGACCTCCAACTGAAGGCTGCCGGATCCACAGTTTTTGGTGTAGAGACATGCCCCACCACTGTTATTGATGTTATTTTGTGCTTAAACTTGAGCCACTGCTAAATCAACTGCGTTGCCTCTTCCGAACTGCAGCTGAAGGTCTGCCGCGCGGTTTCATGGACAGTACACAGATGGCCTGAAGTCAAGACCTGCTGCCTAGCAGGACGTGTACACAGAGACATCCGTCGAAGGGCTCAAAGAACCATAGACTCGACATCGCATGAAGGCCCAAAAGAAGTGCCGCTGACATGCATTATTGTGAAAATCCTTGTTTTTGATGAAGTATCTTGGTTGGGAGTACCTGCTTCTTGCTTGGATGACCAGGCTGGTGAAGCGGATGGGGCATCCAACCCTTTGGCCGGTTTGATGGCCCAAGCTGAATCCCATGAAGAGTGGATCCCAATCATTAGCCCTCAGCGGAGTCTGACACTACACACAGCATAGCTGCCTCAAGCTTGAAGGGTTGGAAATCATCGATTGCTAGTGACGGTGGTTGCTGGTGATTTAACTCAGATCACCGAGCAAATGGCCAATACATGTGCAAGTTGCTTGCAAACAACTTGTGGCAACTCCTGAGATAAGCAACCAGTGAGATCTAGCAGATATGGGTCGATTCTAGATAGATAAACTACTCAACACATATATGTCATATAACCCAGATCTACATGGATTCATCGATATGTCGACCACAACTTTGCACGAAAGCCGGGTCTGCATGGAGCTGCTTTACTTCACGTGCTGACCAGGCCCAATTTTTGACCCATGTCGGAATGGTACCCAGCAACCTTCACTTCCTGTCAGGCGGCATCCAGACTGTAGCTGGCTGGTGGCATGGGTGCAGCTGCCATGTGAAATTGCTGGTTGATCACCACACCCGTGAAGTTGGATGAAACTGGTTTCAGAGACGACCTCGGAGGTATCCCCCAAAGGGATCCAAAGGGGGCTGGAAAACCTGCCAGGAAAGAACCAGCACAGCAAAGATCAGCTGCACCTGAGGCTCTTGGGGTTGGTCCAGTCCAAAACCTTGGCACAACCGATGTGTGGCGATGCCTGCATCAGGCCCACTGAATGGGCGCAGGATGGCCGAGGCTTCAAGGCTGGACGCAACAGGTGGATGCCTGGAGTGTTTGACTCGAAGTCGGAAGCTGACCTTGTCCCAAAAATGTGTTGACCATGGCCAAATGGCTTGCTTTTGCCGAAAAGAGCTGGGCCTTCATCGCTTTGAGGGGGGTGTCGGACGATTTCGAGGCAACCAAGTGGACACCCTTCTCCAAGTTGCCGCTGAATTGCTGGACGCTGAGCCCAGAGAGCAGCTGAGGTGCTAAGGTTCAACGACCATCTTCTCTTGGAATGTTGACAAGTGAAAGACGAATCACCCAGACTTGAGAGAAAAGGGATGCCTTAGGATGGACGGACATATACCTTGTACCATCTTGTACCATGTTCCTTCCAATCCCCACTGACCATCCCGCTGACGGTTCAGGTTGCTTTCTGTCGCTGCAACCCTTTGACCGACCGGTGGGGCGGCTTATTCATGTCGATGGTCAATGGTGTCGGGTTTTGACAGGTCAATAGAATTAGTTTGTTTGCAAAAAGGGTTACCCCCAAATTGGTTTATTATCAGTTTACTGGTTTACTCCATTTTCAGACACACCCAAATCATTTCGTGCTTTATACGAGCTACCAACAGTTACCACCACAAGAATACTGTATGGATCAACAATGATCAACACCGCTAACGACCCTCTTCGAGGGGCTGAAGTGACCAGGGCATTGGGACGGGAGATGACGGGAGGTGGCGACTCGCGATGGCTCGGTCTTTGAGATCACACACATCCTGAAGTGCTCCAAATTCGGGGACCTGGCTATTTGGAGGTTTTCTATGGGGATACCCCAATAGCTGAATTGTCTTTTTGAATGGACAATCCGAAAATAACATGGATAATTTGGGGGTATTTCACGAAAGCTAGCGTCAGCTAGCTGGAGTCTTCTTGCTTTAGCAAGTATTGGGGGGGCTGCTCAAGGACATCACGTGATTTTTCACGCGAAAGGGGGGCCCCCCCCCCTCCCCCACCACCACCACCATCACCACCATCACCACCATCACCATCATCATCATCATCGTCATCATCATCGTCATCATCATCGTCATCATCATCGTCATCGTCCTCTCCATCGTCCTCGTCCTCGTCCTCGTCATCGTCATCATCATCATCATCATCATCATCATCATCCTCGTCGTCCTCGTCGCCGTCCTCGTCATCGTCCTCGTCATCGTCATTCATCATTCATCATTCATCATTCATCATTCATCATTCATCATTCATCATTCATCATTCATCATTCATCATTCATCATTCATCATTCATCATCATCATCATCATCATCGTTATTCAATTACATTTTATCATTATTGGCAATTATTGTCATTATCACGAAAGCTAGCGTCAGCTCGCTAGAGTCTTCTTGCTTTAGCACGTACTCCGGGGCTCCCCAAGGACATCACGTGATTTTTCCCGCGAAAGGGCCCCCCCCTGCCCCCTCCCCCATATATATCATTGTTATATATCATATATCAATATATCATTGTTGCATCCTCGTTGGGACGAACAATGCCGCGACACGATGATGACAGTCCCTCCGCAACTCACCTCTTCCCTTCCTTCTTTCTCCTACCCCGCTAGCTTTCGTCATCCACCCCCGGCCTCAAGTCATTCTAGGAGACCTCCATTTGTGGAGGTCACTAAATATCGTGGCTGCCAGTGGCCAGTGCCAGGTACATCAAGCGTTTTGGCGTCCACCCAGTGCATGGGGGCAAGTTGGAAGTGAAGGATTTAGTGCCTCTGTGGGGATGCCGAGACTGGGTGCCGACTGACGGAAGACTGGTGGCTCTGTGAGGGTCCAATTTTTGGGCAAAGAATCAATGGGGATTATATATTTAATGGGGATATATATATATATATCAATGGGGATTTCATCCTCAATGTGATGGGCAGAATATCATTCGTCTATGAGTCTATTGATGTTGCTGTTTCTGTTGGCTGGAACATACAAGGAGGGTGATGGAGTACTCCATTAGCCCAAGGATTTCTCAAGAAAACAGGAAAGTGCTCATTTGGACTTTATGAAGTGGTGCTGACTCCAGCCAATCACTAAGATGGTTCTAGGGTCGACTGTCTGATGATTTCCTATTGATGCGAAGACTCCGGCCAACGGCTGCCTCCAATGATGTGGCTATGTCCCAGAGTTCAGAGGAAGAAATCGGTGGCACTCACTTCACTTCACGGCGTTTGTTTTGTTTGTTGCACCAATCCCAGTTGCCTTATAGATCCAAAAACTATCCCTTACCTTTCCCTTCTTTGCTCCATGAGTTATTGGTACTCAGGGTTCATGACTTGCTGAGGCATTTTCACAAGAATGCACAGGGTGATCTCCATTGCCCCGTAACCTTCAAGGTCTGTGACCGCGGCTGGGTTCGCTGGGGGGCAGTGCGCTGACCCAGATCCCCCAGATTACATTATTGTTTTATTTTTCCTGCGGTGTGTTTGTACTTGGGAGGTGGGATTTTCCATCTACCCAAGACCTGCTGTTGAGATTCAAGAAATAACCAGCCAATCTGTGGATTTCTGGGCCTTGAAAGTGAACCAATAGAGTGACTCCCCTGCACAGGCTTCCCATAGACAGTCGCTGCCCTTGCAGGTGCTTGGGAACAACACAGCAGTGTGTGCCAACATGTCGTTGGGGTCCACGGGGCCCACAGCTGCAGTGAGGTTCCACCATGGATGAACGGAGCAACTGACAATATGATCTGCTTATCCACGTATGGAAACTAGACCCATCATTTTTTCGAAATCAGAATGAGATCATTTCCATTAACAAACAGGGGTACTCTTGGCAGTTCAGGTCATCTTAGAGGTATCAGTCCAGTTTATCGTTTTTGATACTGCAAGGCACCCAGGTGGGATGCATTTCAGGGATTCAACCTTTACCAACCTTTACCAACGGTCTGAAAATAGGCTACCCCACAATCCCATACTCCCCCGACACGTTTTTCCCAGTGGGACAGGTCTGGCTGCCAAGTTCAGCTGCCAAGGGGTTAGACCTCCTAGGTCTGGCCATGTCTATTGTCTTGAAGCGGTCTTGGAGCTGAACAAGAAGACCAAGAACTGGAGTCTCAGATGGTGATGAGAAAAGATATTCATCTGGTAGCCTCCGGAAACGTCAAACATGGCAGTTTTCACAATTCCCTATAAATATGGAGGTTTTAATAGAACATCATCTATAAATACTATAAATGCTGAATTTCTGTTGCCATGTTGGCTTGAGGGTAAGGTTACCAACATGGGATGAATCACAATCTATAAGGTACATTAAGATACTGTGTATTTGGGGCTGAACATCCATTTACCAGCAATTTCTTGGGTTCACCCGGTACCGGGTTCTTGACTCATGGTCACCGGTAACATCCAGTTGGATGAAGGGTGAAGGCATTAGACCGGCTCAGGCTTGGGATGATGGACAACAGCAACGACAACGATGATGACAATGATGACAATGATGAGGATGAGGATGATGAGCGATGATGATGGTGAGGATCAGGATGAGGATGAGGATGATGCCGGTGAAGAGCCTCGAGCAGTGTTTTCTACTCTCCTTGCAGTCTATTTGTTGGGCAGTACCGTAGAAGAGCGCAGGCCGTAGGTAGGATTGGACAAACATGAGGATACGAAAGTCTTATAGCTTGAAGACGAACGGACAAGGCAATCCCAGATCTGGTTCAAGGGGAATCCTACATGCAGGAAATCCCACCTATCTGCATGCTTAAATTAAAGCCATACCATGATTTCTGTAAGATTTCCTTTCAATCAACCGCGTAAGTTGAGTGTCAAGCATCCCAAATGATAGCCTCAAAATCTCGTCATTCTGGGTGGGACATTGATTCGCAAGGAAAGACTTGATGACTTCTCAGCCGTTCAAGTGGACAGATATAGCAGCTCGGCAGTGCTGAAGATATGGGTTGGGCATGCTCCAAAAGTTTGTCACCTGCAAGAAAGGGAGGAACATAGGATAGAAAGATACTTTTTTTTGATTAGCCTTAACCAAATGGGACATGCAGACACCGTCGTCAATGGTAGCATTGGTGACTCAATCTACTTATTTTTTTGGCGTTCAGAGGGATAGTAAATTATTTTGGCAACATGATATGGAGAACCATTTGACGGTTGGACTTCCATTTGCAGAGACCGAACGGAGAAATTCTGATGGACGAACCACTTCTCCATCACCACGTATATTTGAGTTAATCAGTTCAAATCTGTATTGAATCGCATAAGAAAAAATATTTTGTTGGACCACACAGATCCTTTGTTTACCTCATTTCAGAACGAAAGATCCAGGTAATGCTGCAAGACCCAGAGCAGCTGGAGGCTGGGTAAATGGCCGTGTTTTCCGCCCTATAAAAAATCAACTTCAACAGGAGAAAGTGAAGACAAATTCGCAACCAGATTCGGAACAGTGTAAAAGGATGTAAGAAGTGTGGTAGTGTGTTTGGGTAGTTGCATTTGTTGTTAATGTTCATTTATTTTCTATATATTTTCGTGGTTTCTTTGCAACAAAATGGATGTTTCCGAGATGGTGGCCCCCCCGACAAGTCTCCCAGGGCCGAGAAGTGTCAAAGTTCCACTTCATGGTCTCTGGTCACCAGGACTGGCACTTGAGGAAATTGCAGGCTATCTTGGTGTTTTTTTTTTAAACAAACACACAGTATTATTATTATTGTTATTATTATAATATATATATATTAAACAATAATAACAATAACAATAATAATAATAAATAATAATAATAATAATAATACTAACAATAATAATAATAACAATAATAATAATAACAATAATAATAACAATAATAATAACAATAATAATAATAAATAATAATAATAATAAATTATATGTATACTTACTGTAGGAAATTACCAGGAAATTGCAGGCTATTTTTTTAAAATAACATATATTATATGTAAAGTATACTGTACAATGTCAACCCTGGATTAATACACCCCGAACGGCTGTTTAATTGGGAAGGTACCATTTAAGTATCAAATCATGACTATTGGGGGAATACCCCCTTATTATTATAATAAACCATGGTTTAACATATGTCTATACATTATAGAGATATAGATGCAGTATTTGGGGTGAACACTGTAAGTGCCCCAGGACGAAGTGGTTCGAGAAATCACGAACCCAGAAAGCAAGGCTGGAATGTGGCAGGGGTGTATTAACATGGGGTATCCATTGATATCTTCAAAAGCCCATGGCTAGTGGGATAGTGTAAGATCGGGAAGTACCTCTATGTGATCCAGTGAGTTGGTTTCTGTAGGGTCCATACTGGCCCGGTGAGACAGGTCAGCGACAACAAGGATGAAAGGCTCCGGCCCAACGCCGTGGGCACCCTGGAGGGGCTAAGTCCAAGTTTGAAGGACTTCGGGCTGCTGCTTTCGGGCCAACTTCCAAGAGCCCCTTTTTTTTTGGTGGTTTCTCCATGTTTTCCCATGGTTTCGCCATGGTTTCTCACTTGCTGATGGTCACTAAGGCAGTGTCCCGGATCTTCGCTGAGAAGGAGCGGCTGGCCGAAAAGAAGGCCCAGGAGGTGCCGGTTTCTGGCATGGCAGCATGGCAGAAAGTACTGTAGGATGCAACTAATTCTGTGGATTGAAATTTTATGTGTAAATGTTCTGCGGGGTTGTTATATTTAAGATGCTGGATGATGAGCTAAGACACTTTGACTCTTTCTGAGATGATGAGCTTCCGAAATTTCCACATGGGTTTCTCTGACAATAGGGTCCGCCAGAATTCCACTGGTTCATCATAATTTTCCTTCGTAGAAATTGCAATTTTTGGGTATAAGGCGGTATCCCCAGTTTCTGGACAAGGCCAGATCAACATTGTTGGTTATACAGTTATACATCACATTATAATACATCACATGATATCCACATCAAATGGTTGGTGTCACACCCCGATTTCTTGCTTAAATCCCATGAACTCCCATCGTTTTCTGACTTAAATCCTAGAAATGTCCCAGCAAAATCCATATATTTTTCTCACTGAAAAATCCCATGAAATCCACTAAAAACCCATCCTTTTCTGGCTGGAATCCCATTGAAAAACCGCCTGCTGCCCATTTCATGGGCCCCATGGGTGCTCAGGCTGCGGAGCAGGCGGCTGCGGACCCGGAGGGCGCAGCAGCCGCGGAAGCAGCGGTGAGGGGATCCCAGGGATATCAATGGGAGAATTGCTGGGTCAAGCTTGGGCACTTTCATTTTTTTTGCGATGTGAAGATGTACTAATCAACTCAAAAAAATAGAGTGCATGAGATTGGCCATGAAGGGACTCCAAAACTCTGGTAATTAATCAGCAGCCATCGTTTCTGACTGCGTCATCCGAACTACTCAACTGGTGGACATATGCACTAGATCACTAGGTTTGGATGCCTGCTCCTTTCCCTGTTTGTTCTTGTTGATTACATTCCTAGTATTACTCTACCAGTTAGTGCTGCCAATTTACCTCCATATTCCCCTTTCGACATGTGTTTCATTCTTGTTGGCTTTACCACCAGCATTTTTTAGCGTTGTCCACACGTCCCCACCAATCAAGAACCGTTGGTTGTTGCCGCGGTTAGTTCAGTTCCATCCCTTGATGGGCGACCACTTCCGCCAGCCTCAAGTGGAGGTCAAAAGCGCGGAAGAGCAGAGAAAGAAGTTGAAAGAGGTGCAGCAGATTTCAAAAAAAAAGAGCAGCCAGTTGACCCCCGTAAAATGAGAAGTAGAGCTAGACATGGGGATGTATCTGATAAGCTAACCAGTGCTGTACAATTAAAAATGGTTTCTGTCATGTCAGCGCTTTTGACTTCTCCTGTTAGACACAAATTGGGGTTCTGAGGGCACTGGTATGATTGCGCAGCCACTCGAGAGAAAGTGAAGTTAACTCGGATCCAGCGGTTGTTCATTTATAGTTGACTTGGGGAAGTTACATCTATCCCCATCTCAACAGTAGGGATGCAATCAGGAGTTTGTTTTGGGATGGAAACAAACCTTTCGACAGGAGAAAGGTTAGTTTTCCTGATTGGAACAAATGTTTCGAGACGATAGAACAGGTCTGTTTTCCAAGCCGAAACTAACGCTGTGGCGCTGCCCAAGCTTTGCTCTGAAAGCAGTGGAAAGAAAAAACAAATGTCTTATTCCCAAAACTAACGTTTTGCGTGCGAAAACGTAAGTTTCAGGGTTCGAAACCAACCTTTGTTTGAAACCTTAGTTTGAAACTGGAAACTCAAAACAAACTCCGTTGGAACTAGTTTCGAACCCCCGAAAACAAACATTTTTTCGACTAGTTTGTTTGTTTGTTTTTGCGAAAACATTTGTTTCAGAAACGTTTGTTTTAGGTACGGAAACAAACTATTCTACAAAGCGTTTGTTTTGGGTTGGAATAACAAACTGCCAGGCTGCCAAGCTGAAACCTTTGTTTTTCACGGACACGGAAAACTTTTGTTTCGAACAAACCTTTTCGTCACGTCTGAAAAACAATTCGTTTCGAAACGTTAGTTTGAAAGCAATGAAACTAACCTTTCGGGCCGCCCTTCATCTCGGCCTCGCCATGCTGTGGCAACTGTTTCATATTCACCATCATTCCTCTCTGTCGGCATCGCCAATGACCTATCGAACTGCCTCGCCATGCTTTGGCAGCAATTTCATATTCACCATCCTTCCTTTCTGTCGGCATCGCCGATGACCTATCGAACTGCATGCCCAATGACCCAAATTTCAGTGCGTGTCGGCCTTGCCCGTGCCCTCTTGTTTCGAACAAACCTTTTCGTCGGCCTCGCCATGCTTTGGCAACTTTTTATTCATCATCCAGCACAATTCTGGTCGGCCTAGCCATGCAATTTTGGGTTTCAGTCGGACATGACCCATCCAACTCTCGCCCGGCATCGCCACTGACCTTTAAAACTGTCTGTCGGCCTCGCCTTCCTCTCTGTCGGCCACGTACCGCCATCGCCAAACAGAAGGCGCCCACTGCAGTATTCTAGTTTTTCTCCTGCAGTTGTTCTTGCTCTTCTTCGTCTTCCTTTTCTTCGGCTTCCTTTTCTTCTTCTTCTTCTTCGTCTTCTTCTTCTTTCTGTCTTTTCTTCTTCTGTTTCTTCTTCTTCTGCTTCTTCTTCTACTTCGTCTTCCTGCGACGACTGCTCTTGCTGTTGCTGCGGCTGCTGCCAATGCTACTGCGGCCCTGCGGCTCCTGCTGCCCCCGCTGCCTGCTGCTCCCTCTGCCTGCTGCTGCCGCTGCCACCGCTCCTGGTGCTGCTGCTGCTCCGGGGAGCAAGCGGAAACTTACATCTCACCTCGAAACGTTAGTTTTGAAACCTTAGTTACCCTATGGTTCCGATAACCTCTCCTGTAAACGTTTCTTTTCCCTCCCGGAAACAAACCTTTCCCTAGCCCAAACCTTTGTTTCCGGAGCCAGAAACTAACGTTTCCCCACCCCCCCAAAACCTTTGTTTTTCCCCCAGAAACAAACCTTTTTCCTCAGAGTTAGTTTGTTTCTCCCGCCCCCCCCTCCAAGCTAGCCAAAACCCGGATTTCGAAACTAACCTTTTCCACTTCAAAACTAACCTTTTAAACTTGAGTTTGAAACATGCTGATCGCGTCCATACTCCATTTCAAATCCGGGACTAGACAACTTACAACGACTGTGCAAAGACATGACCATACATGATGAGCAGGGGGAATCACCCGAAAATGGCTGATATCTCGGACAGTTTGGAAATAGTCAATATTACCAGGATGAGATTCGCAGCATTTTCAGATTCAGGAAGTGTTTTTACGAGGCACAAGAGAGGAGGAAAACGAACGAACGTCGGGGGCCTTGGGTGGTGTGGTAAGGGGACCTCCTTTAGGCATCAAAAGCTGCCGAGATGGCTTGATGAGGCTCAGCTGCCAGGTCTCATGTTGATGATTGTGACTGCGATGGCAGTCTGAATATGCCTCTCAACCATCGCATTATCTTCTGCACAGGTTATCACAACAGTCAAAGTTACAACTCTGTTTGGGTCACACGTTGGCTTCACTTGGTGAATAATTCCAAGCTGCCATGAGCCATCGCAGCTAACATAGCTGCCTCCACTTCGCTTGCGCCATGAGTGGGGACCCCGCATCACGTCAGCATGTGTTGGGCAACTTTCAGGACCACCCCATCTGGCACACACACACACATATATATATATAAATACATACGGCAAATGCCTGGGCTTTGCCCGGACCCGCAATGACGACACACGACACATGATGCATCATCATCATCATCATCATCATCATCATCAAACACTTACTGAAGATCTTCAATGAATGTAGAAGTTTAACAGGGGTGGAAGAATTAAACTAATAATTAAACCCTTATCGAAGATCTTCAATGAAGTTCAACGGGGGTGGGAGAATTAAATCCTTATTGAAGATCTTCAATGAACGTAGAAGTTTAACGGGGGTGGAAGAATTAAAACCTTATTGAAGATCTTCAATGAATGTAGAAGTTTAACGGGGGTGGGAGAATTAAACCTTTACTGAAGATCTTCAATGAATGTAGAAGTTTAACGGGAGTGGGAGGATTAAAACCTTATTGAAGATCTTCAATGGATGTAGAAGTTTAACGGGGGTCGGAGAAGTAAACCCTTATTGAAGATCTTGAATGCATGTAGAAGCTTAACGGGGTGGGGAGAATTAAAACCTTATTGAAGATCTTCAATGAATGTAAAGTTTAACGGTGGTGGAACTTTAATTTTCCCTAATACCTTTGTTGATCTTCCCAATTGAATGTAAAGTTTAACGGTGGTGGAACTTTAATATTCCCTAGTACCTTTGTTGATCTTCCCAATTGAATGTAAAGTTTAACGGGGGTGGGGGGTTTAATATTCCCTAGTACCTTTGTTGATCTTCCCAATTGAATGTAAAGTTTAACGGGGGTGGGGGGTTTAATATTCCCTAGTACCTTTGTTGATCTTTCCAATTGAATGTAAAGTTTAACGGGGGTGGGAGTTTAATATTCCCTAGTACCTTTGTTGTGTTTCCCATAGGATTTTTGTAGGTTTAACGGGGGTGGGGTGGGAGTTTAATATTCCCTAGTACCTTTGTTGTTTTTCCCATAGGAATTTAAGGTTTAACGGGGGTGGGAGTTCAATATTCCTTAGTACCTTTGTTGTTTTTCCCATAAGAATTTGGTGACGTTGCATCAACATTTGTTTGGACATGGGAAACCTCTACGCTGCAACACACATATATATATATTATATGTAATATATATATGTATATATATATGTAATATATATATATGTAATATAAATATGTATATATATATGTAATATATATATATATATGTAATATATATATATGTAATATATATATACTTTCTATCTATCTATCTATCTATCTACCTATCTATCTATCTATCTAGATAGATAGATAGATAGATAGATAAGATACTTTAGGTGTTCCTCCCCTGCAAGATGGGGTCGCATTATGCTTTTGGAGCCCTCGAAGCAGCGTACCGGCCCCCAAAAAGTGATGCTGTCAAGAAGGGAACCTAGAGGCACAGAGGGGTGCAAAAATCCACTAACATATTTACACCTCGTCAGAGAAACGCTCCTATGGAGGACTACTATGGCATTCGAAATGGTCACGAAGAAGATCCCCGCCTGCCGTGGTTAAAGGAGCTGGTGGACTGGCGAGGCACCTTGGGAGCGCTATGTCCCAACCAACAGATTTAGCCAATTCTACGGGTTAAAGTTTTAACCGTCCATATGTCTGTGGAGTCAAACAGGTTTATATTAAGAAACATCATTCTTTTGAATCAATTTCTCGACACTCTTTATCATTTCCTTCCCCGGTTTTCGATTTTTCATTTGTTTTAATCATTTTAATTCAGATCCTTATGTGTTTCATTTTGAAAGTCTCCATTTTTTTCAAATTAAAGGGCTCCGCCCCATGCCGCCGACCCTTCAAAAGCTTGCTGCAAACCAGAGACCGTAAACCTACAGTCTTGCTGTCCAAGAAAGAAACAAGGAAACTAAAACTAGCATGCTTCATCGGTCTCAAAAGCCAATCACTATGACTTACTGTACCGAGCCCTCTCTCCAGCTCAACAACCCAGCCACCGTAGCATCAGTATCCAGACATCAAACCATTCAAAACTGCAAACATCGCGATTCGGCAAGAAATTATATAGCTCCAAACTGCAGCTCTCAGGCCTTCAAAACGGACCCCTCGCCACACCAAAGCAGCACTCAAACAGCATGGCAGTGAAGGACGGAACGGGCCCCCGGGCAATGGCCTGTAGTGCCTAACATTGCTTTCTGAAGCCAGAAGAAACTTGCTGCCTGCGGCGTGGAGCTGGCCGTGCCTAACGTCAACTCCCTGCCCTCTTGCTTTCTTCTTCGATCCTCTCTCTTCCTTCCCTTCCCCTTGCTGCTAGTAATTGCTTCTCTGACGCGCTCCCCCTTGCCGTCGGCTGGGGTCGGCGGATACCAGAGATTTGGTCCACAACGTACCCATCCGCAGGCGCCCGAGTGTTAGACCTGGGATGCAACAGCGGAGTTCTGACAATGCAGCTGGCGGCGCTGGGTTGTCGCAAGGTGCTGGGGGCTCCTTGGAACACATCGATGGGTCTCTGAAGAAAGCTGGGTTTCTGTGAACTTTGAGAATGTATGGGAAATTTATGGAAATTTACTAGATTTGTTTCCCTTTGAAAGAATTTATGGCCGTGAAATGGGGTATGGGTTCATGTTTCAGTATTAATCATCCATTTGGGTAGCTTATTTTTGACCCATCTTATCCAAATAATGGGGAACTGGAATTTCTAAATCATTGGATGAAATCGCGTCCTAAAACCAGCTCCTGAGTGGGTGGAATAATTGGGCTATCCCATCCAACCTGTGGAGGAGCTATAATTTACAACCCATTTACCAATCAGGTCTATGTGAGATGTAATTAATTAGGTTGTAAATTATGAATTGGTCATATCTATGAAATATAATTTACAACATTTATAGGTCATTGGTTGTGGTATATATAATTTACCCAATTAGGTCATTTACAATTTACCAATGACCCAAATCCAAGACATTGTGAGATATGCCATTTCTGGTCTATGAAAGGTCTGAGGCTTGTGCCAAGGTCACCAGCCAGGACCAGGGGACTGGTTCCCCTGTCCTGGTGAAGCAGTTTTTGCTGGACATTTCTCATATTTGTTGCTGAGGATTTCTACATTTCTTCATGGTTTTCAAGACATTTTGGCATTTCACCTCATTTTTGGTACTTAGAACCCATATTCTGGGACAATCATCCACATGCATGCTTCATTTTTCCCGGGCCAAAAGAGCCGCTCGTCAGGCAGTTTTTACCATGTTTTTACCCGCAGACTCCCGGAGTTTTGGACCAAAAAACACCTGGTGATGGTGACAATGCCCAGGTCGACATTGACCCCAGCTTGGTGTGCCAAGCGGAAGCGGCTCAAGCTGCGGCCGATACTGCGCACGGGAGGCGAGGGAAGTGAGACACCAAGATTGATCGTTTGGAGTAGGGAAGGTTCATGGGTTTTGGGAGGATGTGTTTTTTTCAATTTTCCTTAAGTTTTCGAAAAGAGCTGAACTTGGAACGTGTTTTGGATGTTTTGGTTGAAGTGAACGTGAACTCTTGAGAAGGAAAATACCTTCAAATCAAGGAACGCGTGAAAAAGCTCGTCAGAATACAGCTAGCCCATCGCTCGTCGAACCTAGATAATCAATTTTCATCGGGGGCTTAAGAGTTCCAATTTTGGAGATCTTGACGCCAGCTCCAGAAGTTGTTGGAGATGCAGTATAATACAAACCACTCCAAGTGACCTCACAGATTTTTCAGGTCACCACGACGTGTCAGGCTTCGATTTGTTTGCCGCGACATGATGAAACTGCGGCTGCGAAAAACCTACGATGTGATTTTACTGCTGAGCACCTCAAAGTGGGTGCATTTGCAGAATCTTGGAGTCAATGTGGGTGCCTATAGTACTAGTAACCCCCAAAAAGATCAAAAAAGTGTTCCAGGATCTTAAAGTTTCGATTTACTTTATAGTTCCAGGTTTCTCACTTTTCTATTTTTTGGGCGTTACTACACAGCGACCAAATGTCTATCAATGGGATACTCACCTACTCGGAGAGGTTGCCATCTGTTGGTTCTTTGGGGGTTTTCGGGTGGGTGGGGGGTGGGGGGGGCGGGGTGCGGGGGGGGGTGCAATAACGTTCAATAACACTTGCATACCTAGATGATGCAACGCTATGGCACGTCCATGTCACTTATCATTGTTCATGTTATAGGTTACTTCATGTTAGGTTCATCTTCATTGGGCTGGCGCCATCCAAAGAGGCAACCGAGGGAAATTAATGTTGCACAAGCTACCTTTTGTCATTTTGAAGCCTGGTTCCAGACCAGTCACAGAAAATCTCCGGGATGTGCGGGCCTTGAATTTTTTGAAGAAAACGAACAAACCTTGTTGTATCCATGGCAACGGAGCTCTTGCTCGAAAGTCTGAGAGTAAAGCTTTGAAGTTATCTATCAGAAATGTGGTGCACATCAAAATGCAGTTCAGATTCAGTTGGTCAAAGTGCGCGGTTGCTCCCAAAGTTAGCAGGGACACAGACCTTGGACCAAATTTGGACAGTTAAAACGTTTTGTCACCAAAGGCTTGCGCACTGGTGGAGGATCCGGTGAAAAAGACAGTCAACGACTTGGAGAGTACGTTTGGGCTTTTGTATTTTGTTGTTATCTCCGTGTTAACCTCATGAGCAATCTTGCCAAAATGGGGAAAAAAAGATGAAACAAAGAAAAGGGCGGATGTTTTTTAAAAAACAGGCGTTGAAAACCACAATTGCAGGGGTAGGGGAAAAAGGACTCCTCCTGCAAACACCAATGACTCTGGTTCTTGCAGTTATGAGCTTGGTGTAAAACCTAGGTTTTGTGACAAACGGGTCATTGACCAATGTGCTTAAATTCCTCGGTCGCAAAAATGGCGCCCGGTACCTTGTTTTGCCACAATATATGGGGTGATCAATCCAGTAGAGGTTAGTGGCTACACGGCTACACATTCCGATGGCGATGACAACGATTTTTTAACCCGGCTTGAGGAATGGAGATCAGGGCCTCAAAGAGCTCTTCACCCAAATTCGTTACTGGCTGCGACCCAATGGGATCTTTATTTTGGAGCCTCAACCTTGGAAAGCCTACAAGAAGGCAGCTGATGTGGCTGTGTCTGAAAATGGGCTTTGCTTTAGATACCCCCAAACAGCAAGTTTAATAGGGGACAGCAAGTTTAATAAGGATCTAGGGATACCTTACTTTCAGACAAACCAATTTTTATCCTTTCCAACTCGATGCTCTTGATGCCTTTTTGATGCCTTTTCGATGTTCTGGCTGTTGTTAACTGCAGATTCATAGCTTCCGGTCCAAGAATCCAACCAAAACCATCTAAAAACTGCCACAAAATCCTGAGCAAGTCATCCTCAGCTCATCCTCAAATCATTCTGAAGTCATCCTTTTTTTTTTTTCCCTTTGCGTGTGCCATGGTTGAATCTGGCCCAGTCCGCAGGTGGCGGATGCTTCAGAAGAGGCGGAGGCAACCTGGCGCACCATCCGACTGCGACCTTCGCAGTTTCTGGAGTTCCTCACGCAGGAGCCCTGAGTTCACTGCACTTCCAGGCAAAGAAAAACCAGGTATAAATTTGTATAACATTTATTTATAGTTATAGTTATAGTTATAGTTACAGTTATAGCATATTATAGACTGTATATAGAAACGCCAAAGGTCGAAAAGTTGGACACCTGGAAATATTAGGTAAAACAATCATTTGGGGTAAGTCTGACTGTTGGTTATTGCAGATCCATACATCTAACTGCTCCATAACTGCTCCATAAATGACAGTACATATTGGTGTTTATACAACCCCATTAAAAAGTGCTCGGGGCCCGTCACTGTAGCCTTCTGCTGGAACGTTGTGTTTGGAGCATGGAAGTCAGGTATTTGGGGCGATGGAAGTCTGTCATGGTAGTTGGCACACGCCGCATAGACGGCCGTGTGCCTTTCACCATTTCTCAACATTTTCCAGGGTTTTGGCATGTTTTGGCACGAGGTTGATACTACGTCCACGAGGGTCTGTGGGTGGGGTGGGGTGGAGCATGTTAACGTTCCTTGTAAGTTGCACACGTTGTTGATGTTCCGCACCTGCAGGGATGTGGGGCAGGACTGGGGTGGGGTGGGGCATGTTAACGTTCCTTGTACGTTGCAGACGTTGTTGATGTTCCGCAACTGCCACGATGTGGGGCAGGGGCTGGGGTGGGGTGGGGCATGTTAACGTTCCTTGTACGTTGCACACGTTGTTGATGTTCCGCAACTGCCACGATGTGGGGCAGGGGCTGGGGTGGGGTGGGGCATGTTAACGTTCCTTGTACGTTGCACACGTTGTTGCACACTGTTCTTTCTCCAATAGTTTCGGAACTCGTGTTTCAATGGGCTTGGCGACAGCACCAAGGACCCGTGTCACCAACTCAGTTCTTCACTGCACTGCAACGTCTCCTGAAACATTGAAAAAATTGGGACGAAACGAAGATAAACAGATGTTCCTTGCAAGAAGTGCTGATGAACAAACGTCAGTGCGAGTTGCAAAAAGTGACCGAAACGCCACGGCCGTCTGTGCGGCGTGTACCTAGTTACCTGACATGAAGTGGAACGAAGTGCTTGACGTTTTGTTTATAGTGTTTTCTATGTTTTTCTTTACTGAAGCAGTTAATGATTTAAGAGGAAAGAACATGAACCCAGGACCTATGTCACTCTTCCCTTAGCCCACAAGTGAAATCTAGCAGCGCTGACACTGGATCGGAAAAATGGCAAAGAATGTAACCAACAGGCTCTTATATTGCAAGGAATTCAGAACTCAACATTGCAGCCTCACATGAGAGGCCCAAGGTTGTGCCAGCAGGAGCTGAAGTTTCACCCCGAGCACAGATGGGTCCACGTCTCCCATGCGTTGGAATCCTTTCAACGCACCATGTATTTCATTTGGACTCTTGCTGGCGCACAAGTGCTGGGTGGGTTCCCAACTCTTTCCTGTATGACATCATAACATCAAATGCCAACCATGGGTACTTGGATGTCAAAGTTAGTTGGTTCACATTCATATTTTTCAAAACTAACATAGACATATACATACATATATACATACATATATGCATATGCATATATATATACAGTATATAATATACACACCATATTTATATACGTAATATGATATGATATCACTGGGATTCATCTCATTTATATCTGGGTTAGAACCATGTGGGTCTCGCAGATTTCTCATGGAGTTTTCCTGAACGGACCCAGGACACCAAAGGCTAAGACGGCTAAGAAGCTCTCCAAGCCTCGACACTGGGCGCTTTGAAATATCCCCAGTGGCAGCAATCCGACATGGCTAGGAACCCCGAAGCTTTCGATGTTTCCAAGTTTTAACTTGATTTTTTGTTTCTTAGTTTGTGAATTCCAGTGGGTGATTTTGCCTTAACAACTGACTCTTCCTTTCGTGCTGTTTTCGGATAAGCTACCCTCTGTTCAAATCCCCTACCTTCATCAGGCCCGGCTTGTGCAAAGTTCACCTGCAGATCGGGGGCACGGCCAAAGCGCCAAAACATGTTTCGCAGATTTGGAAAAAAAAAACCAGGTGTTGCTCAACCCCCCCTGGTGATGGTGAAAAATTGGATTCTGCAAAGTTTGTCGAAGTTTTTTATTCCTAACCATGGCGAAATTTAATTTAAAGAACAAAATGATGATCAACCTTGAAAATTTGGGGTTTCAATTTTTGAGACAACCCTATTTGTCGGGGGCTATCTGCAAGCTTCGCCACTGACGCAGAGCCTAGAATTTGCCACTTCCCACGCTGAGGTTATACCTCCAATGAGGTTGGTGCATCTTTCACATCAACAGCTGCTCCCTTGAAGCCGGGGGGCGAGAGGGGCACGGGTGACCTGACTCTTGATCCGCCGCTCTTTATCGACTTTTCCGGGTAGGTACAGTGTCAAAACGCTGAGTGAAGATGAATTTATCCATAATTTGAGGGATTTACCCTGAAGCAATATGAAACAGTTGGAAGATGAGATTCTAAACTTCTGAACGATGGAAGATCAAGCCACTGCCCAACACCCTGCAGGTCCAAGAATGAGCTGCGCAAGTTGACAGAGGAAGAAGAGCTACAGGACCGGAACCTGCCACAGAAGCTCAGAGTTGGAAGAGAAACGGGCTTCTCTGACATTTTAGGGGAGGATCCCCCTAAATATCTCTAAATACAGTGGTTGATGATCATTTTCCCAGTAGACAATAATTGCAATCTTGTGGCATTTGCGAAGGGCGAAGCGTTGAGAACAAGTTGGCGTTCTTGGTCTCTAGTCGCATGGAAATCAATACAAGCTATTGATTGACGATTTGACCTTTAGTGGCTTGCAACTGTCCTGTGGCATTCCTGTTTATTCGTGCGTTGGCCCCTCCTAAGTTCTGCAGCGAGAAAGGTCGCTGGATCTCCAAAATGGAGGGTTGAGCCACAATAGAAACAGCCAGAACATAGGTTAGCCCTACAGTACAGTAGTTGACTGAAGATCCGTATGAACTTGATCCCCGGTTCTGCCTCTTCTTGGCCTCCCTAGACCCCAGAAACTTTGAAGGCTCGAATTGGAACTTGAGAATGATGGCGGTCCCAAGATTCTGTAGCGAAGCTGAAGGATCACGAGATACTTGAATCATCTAGCAGATGGACTTCTAGAACTTTCGATTTTTCATCTACTTCAAAGTAATGTTCATCCTTTTTCAACCATATTTCATCCATTTGTCTTTCTGAGTTGAACCAACTTTTCTACCGTCAGGATCTCTACGACCAGGCAGCCATCAGGGAAGAGAGTAGCACCCTTCGTCCATCGGAAACTTTTTTTTTTGGGGTTGCAGTTGGCCTTATTTTGCTGGGTACAACCTCTTGGATACAGCTGCTGATACCAACCCCAATAGGTTTCTTGGGATATGCGGCCCCCTATAGCAATGCTTGTAGATCCCCAACCATAAGTGGAACTGCTCCCCCAAGTGGAGGGGAATGGACAGCCAAACATCAGGCATTTTTAGTTGCAGAAAGGCTGGTTGCCAGCGCCGAAATCACCAATTGTTTGTATACATTCATTGGTTTTTGTCAATATATTACATGATCTGAAGCAATGTTGTTTTTTTTGTTGTCCATACACAAGCCTTTTCTATTGGAAATACAGAAAGGCGTGTTGTGGGCTCGCAAAAGGGATTTTTTCCCCAACTACATTACATGGTCTAAAACAATATTGGCCTTTTGCTGTCCATACACAAACCTTTTCTAGAGGAAATAGAGCGTAGAGTGGTTAACCAAAATAAAGCAAAAAAACAAAAAAAACAAAAAAAAACAGTGTTTTGGGGACTACTTGGATCTAGGCATGTTCAGACTAGTCTGGAAATCATTTTTTTTTTTGCTTCTTTTTTTCTTTTTGGGTTCTTTGTTTTTTTGTTTCTTTGGGGTTTTGATTCCTTAGGATTAATCCAGACTAATCCAGATTAATCCAAACCAAATCTGATTCATCTTGCCCCAAAGGCATTCTTGTCAAGTCATTATTTCAAAAAATATTGTATGCTAAACTTGCGCAGTATTCCTTGGGGATGTGCAATTTTCCTTTTCAAGTGTGAAGCCTTTGGGGATGTAAAATTATGTTTTTGGTGAAGGAAACCGTTCCTTCAACTAAAAGGTGTTCCTGTCCCAGTAGAGCACAGCTGGAGTTCTTTGAAAGGAGTGTTGCATATTTACAAAGAAATGGTGTAATTGAAAGGATTGTTACATATTTTCAAATCATGGTGTAACTTTCAAAAGAGGCAGCTGATTCAATTTTCTTTTTGGTGATTTTTGGTGAGTAAAACATTTCTTTCAAACAAATGGTGTTCCTTCCAAACAGATGGCAGCTGGGTTTCTACTTTCAAACATAAAGGCCAGCTGAGCTTCTTTGAGAGGAATGTTACATCTTTAAAACATTTGACTAGCTCAAAAGCAACCACCAGCTTGTAAATGACAACACTTCTTTGTAAGGAAAACTGCAATTCTTTGAAGAACCTCATTTCTTCAAAGCCTTGACAGGCATACAACTTAATAGACTATATACAGACATTTCTCTTTGGGTCATGAAAGCAAGTGAAAAAACTGCATTGCCTGATATCGTTTGCAATTTTGCCTCTAGCTCAATGTGTTGCATTTTCTTTGGTCAACTGCTGCGCTGCGCAGCTCAAACTCATTCAACATTGTTATGTACTTCCTTCCACACCTGTTTGAACACAACAGGGAGTTTCCTTAATTTTCGAACTGAAATAGGCCTTGTAGAAGAATTAAGGTTGTGTTTCAAAGACGACTCATTTTTTTCAAAAGAATGTGGTATTGTACCACAATCATATGGAAACATGACAGTAGTGTATCCCTAGGTTTCAAAACAATATATTTCCATTTTCATGATGTTTGCCACACAAAAAGGAGGATAACTACTGTTTATGAGAAGTACATGACCTGAACTTATCCACTGTAATTTTGCATTGTATGTTACATACATATTATGTTGCACCTAATGCTTCAAAGTGGAGATATATCCTGTTTTCTCTTCTAGGGTGGAATTTCGTCTTGGAATTTGCCACATTTTGAACCTAATGACTACAATTGTTCTAAAGGAGTGCATTTTAAAGCTGAATATGTGTTTTTCTCTGGGTCAGGCCTCCTTTTGAAACATCCTATTTGATTGTGACCATTTCCCAAAGGATACAAGAACATGAGGAAAGCCTACTTTCCAGCGCTGGCAACAAGCCCCTCTCTTTAATTGCCGAATACGGGGAGAAGCAGCAAATGTGGGAGCAACCTCAACTGGGGACCACCATGGCAACAATCTTCAATAGGAATGTCACCTCAAGTCAGCCCTTCCACCACACCTATGCTTGTTTCAGGTAGTGTAAGTGAACATATAACATTTACAACAACATCATTGTGGTTCCCTTCCAGTTTTTTGTTGTGGAAGGTCTTCGCGTACTGTACCGCTTCTGCAATTTCCTGATGGGTTTCCTCTATTTGACAAGAAAGCGCTGACAGGTTCGCAAGAAAAAGCTGAAGGGATATGTTTCTTGGCTGAGCTTGGGCTTGATACCAGGGCGGTCCCTCTGAGTTTGGTCGAAGTAGAGGTAAATGAAATGCATAAGTTCAGCTTGATCGAGACCCGTGAGTGCTTGGACAAGATGAAGAAACCGCATTTTTTTGTGGATCAACTTATTTTGAAGCAAGCTTTTATATTTCTGATGCATTTCCTTTTTTGTTTGTAAGCACCTTATTTTCTTTTAGAGATGTGCACCATGGAAAAAAGATAGCGCAGATTCAGCATGGAGACCCTGTCTTTCTCCCAAGGTCCGGATGGTGACCTCCTGTGGCTGTTTGAATCTGGAGCTGCACTGCAACATCGCACCTCGGAGCCGAAAATTTCACCGACATTTAGAGACCGGCTGGGAGCAGGAGGGGACTTACAAATGCTATATAAATCCACTAGAGATGCTTATTTTCTGTTGGCAAACTCGCTTGCTTTCTCTTGCTTTCTGCTGGGATCGCCCATTTTCTGGCAGTGTTTTAATTTTTTTCCAGTGGCGCAGGTCTATCTGCCCAACCAAAGGGTTGCAGAGAAAAACCTTCGATTTTTCACACTTCAAGCTGCAAGCTGCTAACTTTTTGGAGATCTTTTGATGACTTCTGGAGATTGGGTTTATCTGAAATAGGCTAGGGCTACTTTTCCAAATTTGGGCTTAAAAACGACAGATTTTCTCAAACAAACTCCTCTTGACTCCCACAATTTGTGATGATTAAATCCCCAGTTGCCTACATTCCCAAAAAATTCCCATTAGATCATTCATAGTCAAATCATATTATTAATAGTCAAATTGTCATGAAATCCCATTGAACCCCCCTTGGTTTTTCCCGTTAAATCGGGTATGTTCGATAAGATGGCACCAGGCGGCTCCCGTTCCAAGCGCAGCGCCGCAGGCTCCGAGGACTTCGGACAACTTCCTGCGGCTCTGTGAGAGGAACTACTACGACAACTCGGCACGGGGCACCCATTGGGTGAGATGATTTGATTATTATTATATTAATGGTACTATCAAATGATTAATAGTATAATAATAATGGTACAATAATAGTAGTGTATTACTGGTATAATGATAGTATCAATGATAGTATTTAATACGTTCAATGGGTATAATGGTAATAGTAAATACCCAATGGTATATTATTAATATTTATTTAGTATAATAGTAATTGATAATAATTTAATGGTATAAAGAGGTATAATAATAGTCGTATAATAGTAAATGGGTACTAATGGTACTATCACATGGGCATAATAATGATAATAGTAAATGGTACAAAAAACTAATGGTACTATGTTTGGGATTAATATTTAATAGTACTATGATGATTGGGTGATTATAATGATAACATTGGGAGTATTGCTTATTCTTTATTCTAATATCATTATTATTAGCATTATTATTATTATAATATATTATTATTATTATTATTATTGTTTTTTCTTTTTTACCAGTGTTATTATTACAACCATTATTCTTACTACTATTATGAACCATTGCTGGACTTCCAGACTTCTTGAGAAGATATTTGAAGCCCCCAAAGCTATCTACATCACCTCAGGTGTTTGGAAAATGGGGAGTTCGGCAGGAAACATGATTTAAGGGGATAGGATTATGATATTCACGAGGTAAATTCCGTAATGAACCATCCCCGAGGTTATGAAACTTCGTATCTACCCCCTGCAACTGAAGTTGAAACCATTCACATTCCACGCGTTAAAACAGGCAAAATGGAGATATTCAGCAACGAATGGTGGATACATATCTAGTGGACATGGCTTGAAGCTACAGCGAATGGCCAGGTCTTCCATCGTCTCATTCGGAACTTCATGTTGCAGGTGCGAATGGTGGGATTTCATGGCGCGTATCTGAAAATCCACACAGACCATGGTGCATAGGTGGAACACCATCTTGCACAAGGATGCAACAGGTATATTGTATAATATATATGTATAGATTATACATATATACATACGTATGCATATACACACTCTCTCTCTCTAAATATAAATATATATATCTATACATAGTCTCTCTATTCACATATATACACACTATAATTTAATCTCTCCATGTATAGACTTAGATATCTACGTATCTATATATAATGCACTGTCATATTTGTCCTCTTCACCAGATTTTTCGCTCCGCAGGGTGGGGACCCCACAGCCACTGGACGAGGGGGTGAGAGCGGATTTGAAGGCGCGCTGATTTCACCATCAAAAAACAAGTGATTTAGTGAGCTTTCATGGGGATATCATTTATCATGTTTTCTTGAAGAAACATTCTAGCCAGCAAGTGGTTGGGAACCATAGTTAGTTGTAATCCATTTCCATGTATATGTATGTATATATATATTTATGACATAATATGTATATATATATATGTGTAACATTATATATAATATAAACTAATATGACATAAAGTAAAATAAAATCAAATGATACAATATAATATGATATATAATATAATGTGATATAAATTGATATAATATGATATACTATGATTCAATGATATATAATATAATATAATACAATATAATATAATATGATGTGATATGATATAATATAATATAAAATAAAATAATATAATATAAATTGTGGGCAATGATAGCCCCAATCGGGGCTTATGGGACTAAAGAAAACCAGGTTATTCACCAGCTATGAAGTGGGACAAGAAATCAGGGTCCCATGACGCCTTCGAAGCGAGGCAAACTGTGGTCTTATGGTGTATACACGGCAAACATCTATAGTTAGATGGGATTATAACCTTTATAAACCAACTTACAACTAGGGACCCTTCTTGTAGGTTCAAACATGGGCTGTACCCCCTGGAACAAATTGGTGTGGAACTTTTGGAGCTTCAATATCAATGATAGCACCTCGGCATGGATGGAAGGTAGTGATAGGGTTTAAAGTGCTTTAGGGGTGCAATCTTGAGGCATATCGTATACCATTCCTTAGCCACCAAAGAAACACAGCTGGTAAAAAGCAGTTTCTTGATTCTCGAAATTCAAACCACTTCGCTTCTCTGTTCTGTTCCCTGGAAAACATTATCTTGGATTCGCTGAAGGCATTTTTTCAATTACCCTCTGGTAAACTAACATAACTATGGAAAATCACCATTTTCAATGGGAAAATCCACTATAAATGGTCATTTTCAATAGCTATGTTAAATTACCAGAGGGTACTATGGGATAATCCACCAAGGCACGTAAGCAGGTCGGTAGATCATCTCTAAAAAAGATGTGCCATTGCTTGAATTGTGCGAAACGGACATGGGGAGTTGTGCCATAACCATGGGTAGACCTAGTGTATGATAGGTTGATTGCCATGATTGGTTCGGAAGATACTATCCATGCTTGTTTTCTCATCACTTTGGGGTGCTTTTTTGTTTGTGGTTAGGCCCAAAAAGTTCGTCTCCCGGGATCGGTTTAAGCGAAGATTTACAGGAAGCACATTTTGTCAATATACCAATCCAACAGGCTTTTTCAACATTTGATAGGTCTTACCAGTCAGCGAATGCTCGTTTCTTGGGATACCCAGTAGTTTCTTAAAATGTGGCCCAAAATCATCATAGACTCATAGACCATCCATTTCTTCTAAGTCCCCAATTTTCAGACACCAACAAAAACCTACGGTTGGGAAATGCCCATAGCCGGGAACCGGCGATGACGTTGGAGAAATGTGGAAACCAGGAGGCAAGGCATTTCGGGACGAGTTTGACTCCCGACTGGTGCATCAGGGCCCTGGAGCACCGGCCTTAGCTGTTGATGAAGGCTTGGCTATATATAGATAGAGATACACAAAATTAAAATGTATCTACATACTATGGTATATATATATAGATAGATAGATAGATAGATAGATAGATAGATGGCTAGATAGCTAGATAGCTAGATAGCTAGATAGATATAGATATTTATGTATACATGTAATTACATAAATTAGACACAATTGGTCTACTAACACATGATTGAACCATCCCAATTTTGATTGAGACCCAAATTCGACCACCCAAAGTTGCTTGGACGATGATGTTCAGTGTGTGCAATACGGGTCTCGACAGCCACGCCTCTTTTGTGACCCCCGAATTATAAACTTTGGGTTTGCTTCAGGCTTCAGCTGGTGAGTACTTCTCTTTTTTTGGGGGGAGACAGTGCATACATGGCACATGGTATATGCGTGCATAGTATATCTTTACATACATATCTACATTGAGAGATCGACATTTTCCCTCGCCACGGCTTGTTCTTTCGCATCTCAGGTGGCTTAGGGTTTCGCTCCATTTCCCCTAGCCAAAGGCAAGGGCAATTGAACTACCCCAATGGAGGGCGTCGGCCGAACTCTCAGCCATGGTGAAGATCGTATCGATGACGTCCTTGCGCAGCATCGGCGGGACGTGAAGACGGCCCGCGAACAGGCGCGTTGTCATCTATCCACCAAAGGGATTTCATGGGGAGATCATGATATTAATGGATATTAATGGGATATATGGGGGTGTGACTGAAAAATTGGGGTATACCTCCAATCGTCCATTTTGATGCGGACAATGGCGATTAAATATCAATTTTTTGGGTACTATTTCCCAAACAGTGTGGCCACACTGAAGGGTTCTTACGGTAACAGTTGAGGCCCGGTGTTCAATCGAGGTGGTATTGGAAGCGTCCGGCATTTTCCCTGTAAATTTCCACACAAAATGCCTCTTGTGACATGTCCATGTGCATTTCGACTGCGCAGGCTCGCACAAAACGGGTGTCGCGGGATACCGGTCCGGCATTTTCCCTGTAAATTACCGCGCAAAAAGCCTCTTGTGACATGTCCATGTGCATTTCGACTGCGCAGGCTCGCACAAAACGGGTGTCGCGGGATACGGGTCCGGCATTTTCCCCTCTTGTGACATGTCCATGTGCATTTCGATTGCGCAGGGTCGCAAAAAACGGGTGTCGCGGGATACGGGTCCGGCATTTTCCTTGTAAATTACCGCGCGAAAAGCTTTTTGTGACATGTCCATGTGCATTTCGACTGCGCAGGGTCGCACAAAACGGGCGTTGCGGGGTACGGGTCCGGCATTTTCCTTGTAAATTACCGCGCGAAAAGCCTTTTGTGACATGTCCATGTGCATTTCGACTGCGCAGGCTCGCACAAAATGATGTCCCCGGAGCCCGGAGGTGTCCCCAGTTGTTATTCCTGTAAATTTCCATACAAAATGGCTGTTGTACTTTGTCCACGTGCATTTCGATTGCGCAGGCTCGCGCAAAACGATGTCCCCAGAGATGTCGGCGGCAGTATTTTCCTGTAAATTATATACGAAATCGTTCTGTTGCAATGTCCGTCTGCATTTCGATTGCGCAGGCTCGCACAAAACGATGTCCCCGGAGGTGTCCGCGGCCATTTTTCCTGTAATTTCTATATTCTATACAAAATGGCTCTTGTGCAATGCCAGTCTGCATTTCGACTGCGCAGGCTTGCACGAAGTGTGCTTCCCGGTCTTGGGATCGGTCTTCCTACTCAACATCCTCCTCCTCAACATCATCATCGTCCTCCTCCTCATCCTCATCATCATCATCATCATCATGATCATGATCATCATCATCATCATGATCATAATCATCGTCATCATCACCACCATCATCTCCATCATCATCATCATCATCATCATCACCATCACCATCCCCATCATCATCACCATCATTTCCACTATCATCACCATCATCATCATCACCATCATCATCATCATCAGCATCAACAACATTACCATCATCATCAACATAATCATCAACATCAATTACCATCATCATCCACATTAATTGACATCATCATCAACATTACATATACGACATTATCTTTTTACTCCCCCCACATTGTTTGGGGCCTCTTGCCGGGATAATTTTTGCAGACAAACCCTGCTATGGCCGGCATTTTGGTAGCACGTGAATGGGTCTACTAGTACCTTGCCTGCGCTGGCTAGATACTTGCTTCTGTGTCAGCTAGGTACTGAGATCGTCAAACAACACAACCATTGGGGGGGAAAATGGGAATTTGGGAACATGGGAACAGCACACCAAAGAATTGAAACAATTGGATTCGTTCCTTTTCGACCCATAACCGTATACCTAAAATCTTCTGAGACGATGTCTGATATGTCTGTGAAAGAAGTCCCTGGTATGAGGCCCCAAAGGTGCACAATTAGGGATACAAAAAACCATCGGTTTGATGATGACGAACCGCTTTTGGGATCCTGGCCACTTGTTCAGGTTGCTTACTTCCTTTTAAAGAACGGCTTCAAAGGCAGTGAGGTCAATGAAGCCAAGGGCTTGTGGTGGACATATCCTCTCCACGTGGCAGTCAAGCAGAACAATCCCTACGTCACTTCCAAACTTCTCTTCTTCGGCGCCGATCCGACAACCACCAACATCTGGGGTCAGACGGCCTACGGTCTCGCAAAACGCCAACGGAAGACACAGATGGTGAAGATCTTTGAATCTCAGCGGAATCGTGCAGTGTGGGGCACAGCCATAAACAGCAACACTAGTAGGTACTAGTAGGTACCAGCTGTCTATCATAGCAATCAGTAGCAGTGATGGTGTGTGTTGTTGTTGGAGTCATTCTTGTCGTTCTCCAAGCCTTTGCCGTTCAACTTGTCCCGCATTAGGAGAAATTTGGATGCGCAATGACGCCCTTCAACAAGTTCCAGGCAATTCCACCTCCTCTTGGCTTCGAGGAATTCTTTGCCAAGGTGGAGGAAGACGAGTTGGTACTTGGGCAAAAAACTTTGGAGATCATTTTCTGGGGGCGTTTTTTTGTCATGGCGAATTAGTCAGCCAAGCCGCCAGAAAATTTGGGTGACCCCACAAATAGTAGATGGTTAAGATAACCCCATAAAAGTGTTAGTTGTTTGTGGTGAATCAACCCGACACACCAACCCTGGCCATTTGGGTCCTCCTGGACCGCTGTTGGTCCAAGAGCTTTCCCATGAAGGTGAACCCCCAATGGGTACAGGTCAACTACACAAGATTGGACCGCTGCCCCAGGTACAAGTGGCTAGTGGGGAATGGCAATGGCTGCAACGCTTGGGATGTCGACGCCTGCGGGTTTTGTAGTGACATCAGTGGGAGGTGCAGGAGTCCTGTCGTATGTGGAGACCTGTCGGTCATCCCCTGTTGTACTACAGTAGTGCGGTAAACAACATCATGAAACCTGCCTTTGGGTATGGTTAACAACAATCCGCCAAAATGTTGGATTTGGTATGATTTGGTCACGTTTTATTGTTGGGTTTACCAACCAAAAAAAATACGCTTTTGATGGGTTCGCACCATCCTATTTGACCGGGATGAAATTCGCTGAACAGTATATTGTATAGGGAGTAGCCTCCATGACAGCAGTTTCGGTAGGATTGCACCCATGAATATCTGCAAAAGCAATAGAACAGATGGTTTTCGATAGCGATGCCACATGATGCCGAAATTGGGGGGTTCGGAACCCTCAATAGCTTGTCATAGAACTCTGCTCACGTGCCATGTGATTCTGGCTTCAAATGATTCAATTTTTCACTTTTTTTTTTTTCCATTGACCGTAACATCTCTTTGAAACTACCCGGCATGACAACAGGATCCACACGTTAGGTCGCTGCACAGCCGCATGCCGGCTGGTCCCATGATGCCCAGCATGGCTCGACTCGGCTCGACTTGCAAAATGACCTGCAGGTGATGGAAGTCCTTTGAAGGACACAATTGGGCTCAAGATGGATTATCTATATATATATATATTATATATTATATATATTATATATATATGGTATATATATATAATATTATATATATATATATTATATATATGGTATATATATATATTATTTATTATATATATATTAATTATTATATATATATAATGGTCAGATTGGGGGAATGTTGTCAATCCATTTTCATAATGATTTAATATGACATTTATATACCAATTCTAACGATGCTGGGATGACCATAAACATCCACAAACCATATTCAATCTTTTGGATGGCACACTTAGGCTTTTGGCCCCAAGGACCATGGCGGTCTCTCACCGAATTCACCAAACATGGAGATTCCAACGGAGATTCCAATGGAGATTGAAGTAACAAGAGATTTGCCACGGATATGCAGTGCAGGGTCATCTTTTTAGGATCTGACAGCAATGGTTTGCTTTTTTGAAACACCTCATGTTTAGGCTTTCGGGTCATCTTTTTAGGATCTGACAGCAATGGTTTGGGTTTTTTGAAACATGTTTGACCTGCAAAAAGGTGACTGGGCGAGATTTCAGCGACATGTATCATGGACATGGAACAAAAAGAGTGCCACACAATACCATGGGTTTATCTGAGAATAGGGTATCCCCCATTCCAATGAATTATGGATTTTCCCATAAAAAATAGTGATTTTCCATAGCTATGTTAAATTACCAGAGGGTATGTCATGTTTTTTCTCATCAAAGAGCCCGTACGTTTGGGTCAATCGACCTGGACATGGCGCCTCCAGAGGTGTCATCACTGCTGGAACTCGTGTGGCCATGTTGCGGTTTGAGCCTACACCTCCAGCGGCTGTAGCTGTTGGGTGCCTCCAGCATATACCCTGTATGCTCCAGCTACCCTTTGGTAATCAAACATGGCCGCAGAATCCCACTATGTGGGGCTGATTTTGCTGTTTGGACTTGTTGTTTTTTATGCTCATTTAGGAGGATTTTCCAGCCAAGTTTGATTACTGGAGGGTATATTATCATATGGGTCGTATGGGAGATACCTGTTGAGTAAATGATTGGGATCTCGTTTTGCGGCTGGGATTCCATTATCTCGAAGCGCTGGAAGGCCAGCCCAACAGCGAGAATTTCTCGGGTCAATCGCACCCCATTTGAGGGCAGTCCGTGCCCAGACGAAGACAAGCACCGGGGGCAGGCCAGGAACATGGCACTTGTTGGATGGCAGGACCCATTTAGTCAGTGTTTCATCACCATTAAACCACCATTAAACCACCATTAAACCACCATTATATAAATCACCATAAATCACCATTAATCGGTACATTGGTCGCTTGTGACCCTATTCACTGTTTCTACGTTTTGAACCAAAAAAAGATAGGGTCACAAGTGACCAAGTGTGCTTGGAGTCCCACGCCTGTCACATAAAGTTGGTGCGTCCCCTTTGTGGTCGCTTGTGGCCCTATTCACCCTATTCGTGCCCGAAGTATCATTTTTGAAGGAAGTCTCACAGAAAAGGTTGTTTTTTGAGTTTCGAGGCTTCATTTTTGAAGGAAGTCTCGCAGAAAAGCTTCGTTTTTGAGTTTCCAAGCTTCATTTTTGGAGGAAGTCTCGCAGAAAAGCTTCGTTTGAGAGCTTCGAAGCTCCATTTTTGAAGGACGTCTCGCAGAAAAGCTTGGTTTTTGAGTTTCGAAGCTTCATTTTTGAAGGAAGTCTCGCAGAAAAGCTTCGTTTTAGAGGTTCGAAGCTCCATGTTATCTATCTATCTATCTATCTATCTATCTATCTATCTATCTATCTATCCATCTATCTATTTATCTATCTATCTGTCTATCTATCTATATCTATCGATCTATCGATCTATCGATATCGATATCGATCTATCGATCTATCGATCTATCTAGCTATCTATCTATCTATCTATCTATCTATCTATCTCTCTCTCTATCTCTCTATCTCTCTATCTATCTATCTATCTATCTGGAAATGGAGACAATGGTTTAGTGGAACGCAGGGGGGGAAGTTTAAACAAAGAAGTAGAATGGAGACCATGGTTTGGTGGAACGCAGGGGGGGAAGTTTAAATAAAGAAGTAGAATGGAGACAATGGTTTAGTGGAACGCAGGAGGAGGGGAAGTTTAAATAAAGAAGTAGAATGGAAACCATGGTTTGGTGGAACGCAGGGGGGGGAAGTTTAAATGAAGAAGTAGAATGGAGACCATGTTTTGGTGGAACGCAGGGGGGGAAGTTTAAATAAAGAAGTAGAATGGAGACCATTGTTTGGTGAAACGCAGGGGGGAAGTTTAAATAAACAAGTAGAATGGAGACCATGGTTTGGTGGAAGGCAGGGGGGGAAGTTTAAATAAAGAAGTAGAATGGAGACAATGGTTTAGTGGAACGCAGGGGGGGGAAGTTTAAATAAAGAAGTAGAATGGAGACAATGGTTGGGTGGGGGGAAGTTTAAATAAAGAAGTAAAATGGAGACAATGGTTTGGTGGAACGCAGGGGGGGGAAAGTTTAAATAAAGAAGTAGAATGGAGACAACGGTTTAGTGGAACGCAGGGGGGCGGAAGTTTAAATAAAGAAGTAGAATGGAGACCATTGTTTGGTGGAATGCAGGGGGGGGAGTTTAAATAAAGAAGTAGAATGGAGACCATGGTTTGGTGAAACGCAGGGGGGAAGTTTAAATAAAGAAGTAGAATGGAGACCATGGTTTAGTGGAACGCAGGGGGGGGAAGCTTAAATAAAGAAGTAGAATGGAGACCATGGTTTGGTGGAACGCAGGAGGGAGGAAGTTTAAATAAAGAAGTAGAATGGAGACCATGGTTTAATGGAACGCAGGTGGAGGGGAAGTTTAAATAAAGAAGTAGAATGGAGACCATTAAGTTTAAATAAAGAAGTAGAATGGAGACCATGGTTTAGTGGAACGCAGGGGGGGAAGATTAAATAAAGAAGTAGAATAGAGACCATGGTTTAGTGGAACACCGGGGGGGGGGGGTTTAAATAAAGAAGTAGAATGGAGACAATGGTTTAGTGGAACGCAGGGGGGGGAAGTTTAAATAAAGAAGTAGAATGGAGACAATGGTTGGGTGGGGGGAAGTTTCAATAAAGAAGTAGAATGGAGACAATGGTTTAGTGGAACGCAGGGGAGGGGGAAGTTTAAATAAAGAAGTAGAATGGAGACAACGGTTTAGTGGAACGCAGGGGGGCGGAAGTTTAAATAAAGAAGTAGAATGGAGACCATTGTTTGGTGGAATGCAGGGGGGGGAGTTTAAATAAAGAAGTAGAATGGAGACCATGGTTTAGTGGAACGCAGGGGGGGGAAGTTTAAATAAAGAAGTAGAATGGAGACAATGGTTTAGTGGAACGCAGGAGGAGGGGAAGTTTAAATAAAGAAGTAGAATGGAGACCATGGTTTGGTGAAACGCAGGGGGGAAGTTTAAATAAAGAAGTAGAATGGAGACCATGGTTTAGTGGAACGCAGGGGGGGAAAGCTTAAATAAAGAAGTAGAATGGAGACCATGGTTTGGTGGAACGCAGGGGGGGAAGTTTAAATAAACAAGTAGAATGGAGACCATGGTTTGGTGGAACGCACGGGGGAGGGGAAGTTTAAATAAAGAAGTAGAATGGAGACCATGGTTTAGTGGAACGCGGTGGGGGGAAGTTTAAATAACGAAGTAGAACGGAGACCATTGTATGGTGGAACGCAGAGGGGGGAGTGTAACTAAAGGGATAGGGTCGCAGGTGACCGGATAATAGGGTCGCAAGTGACCGGGTAGAATAGGGTCACAAGTGACCGGATAATAGGGTCACAAGTGACCATGGTACCCCATTAATCACCACTTGCAACTTTTGATCTTCAGCTGCCCAGTTCGTCGGATTTTTTCATTTGTGGCAGCCTCATTGTTCAATGAATGGCTTCATTAAAAAACCTTAGGCCTGCCAGTTCGCCCCAGAATCGGGCAACTCTCCCCAGTTTCCCCTCCCCAAAGCAATGGGGGAACAAAAGCTGAAATGTGCCCAGTTTGGAGTTTGTTGATCCGTTTCCAGCAGTTTATGTTTATGCCATTGTCAGTTGCAATACTCACCGTGTTTGGGCCGAAAGCATGCTGCATGATTTTTGGCATGCCCCGTGCTTGCTGTTTTGCAAAGGAGTGATCCTGAGGACAACGAGAGATGGTGAAGTTGGAGAGATGGGAGTTCAACACCTTGAAAACCGGCTAAAAAACTTAGTCCTGGTGCCCTCAGCTAGCAGTGCATCACTGCATCACTGCATCACTGTGTGTTGTTGGCTACTGGAAAAGTTGGCTGGTTCGAGCACTGTTCTTGGGAGGTGCGATTCAGGTGTTTTGAAAGTGAATGACCCTGTACTGGATGACCCTTTGTGCATACGAAAACTGTTTTTTTCTTATTTGTGTGGAAATGATTCCGGGAAATGCCCAAATTTGGTTGGAGTTGGGAAGAACCCCCTGCTGGAGTCTTTACCATCTCTATTCGGAACCCAGGGTTCCCAACAATGCTATCATGGTGGCTGCTCCTCATGAGGAAAATCTGAGGTGCCGACTGCCCTTGGGATCCGGGGGCCAAAGTCCCAGTTCTGTGACTTATGGTGATTTGAAGTCTGGCTGATGATTGTTGTTCAATCATATCGATGGCCCTGTGGGCTTTGTTCAATCACATCCATGGCCTGTTGGGCTTTCTTGTTCTGTTCAAGTGGGACTTGTATTTTTTTGGCTCTGGGATTCCAAGAATCAGTGGCATGCATCAGTATTCGCCTGTGTCGTTGCTCATGCGCAGCTCGATGTTTGAAAACCTTTTGACCGCACAGACGGCCCGACATGGTGACAAGTACCATGGCCGGTGGCCAGCGAACGCCCTGGAGGGGCGGCGTTGTGGTGCAAGACTTGTAGATGAGGCTGAGAAGCCTCAGGTGCTGTCGTTGCCTTCTGTAGCTCGTGGGACCAGAGTCTTTCCAGGCAACAAAAGCTAACAGTTTCGTGTTTTCTCCTTGCAATGATGGGCCGTTAACAGATGCAGTGGGGGAAACTGGGGGCTTTGCAAAAGGGAATTGATTGGGATTAGTGACAACTAGTGATGATCAGTAACTTCCCCTTTGCAAGTGGTGGGGACCCATCGAATCATGGTGGCTTTCGGGGTTTTCCAGGCCACAAACCTGGGAGTCATGCAGCTCAGGTTGTCTCGATGGCGAACAATGGGAAGAACACCAACAGGTGGGCCAATCGGCCAAGCGATTCAGGTAAATTAGCTTCGTACCTTCTTTTGGGGTCAATATATGTGGCAATCAAATACCCCTAACATGGGATGTTTCACTAGCAACATGGTTTTCAGGGCCTGACAGTGTGCTTTGTTGCCAATCACCAAGAAAAATGGAAGGATTTTACCAAATTCAAGTGGCACACATTCCATTTTCAGGAATTCTGCTTGATTGACCCGCAAAGGCCCATGGACCTATGAAATAGGAGGTGGAGTCCAAAGCGATGCTGATGTAAGCCCAAAGTGACTTTCTGAGGGGTGCTGTATCTATGCCAACATCTGGGATGACAACGACTCATCACATTCTCAAGTTTCACATGGTGCGTGCAGGAGTCAATTTTTTATCACCCTGAAGTCTTGCGAACACCTCAACAACAAGCACTCTGTGCCAGGCGCCCGAGAACGCCAGGTGTTTCAAGTGGGGCTTCCCCATCTTCATGGTTGCCATAGGTTATACACATCATGAGGATTGTCAAGGAATTTGGACAACTGGCAACTGGCCGGCCACACCCAACCGTAGTCCCGAACCCCAAGTGGCTTGATTTTGATATAAGCCTGCTGTCCCTCCAGCTTTGGGGACCTTGGCCATTTGTTCTGTGAACGAGCAAGGCAGAAATGCCTTTGGAAGCAAACAAGGCACCACAGAAGTTCAGTGAGAACACCAAAGCGGGTCATAACCCCTATTAGTGGTCTTTAACCCAGACCAAATAAGTTTCTCCCAGATTGAAACTCCAACAGCTCTTCGTTGCTAGGAGGCGTCGAAACAGACGTACAAATCCTGAGGATTGTAGAACCACGAAAAACTACCAATGAGTTGCAGAAAAATCGTTTGAAGTGTGGGACTCAAGCAACACAAAGCCTGATTGTAGTTGGGGATAATCATCCTTCACTGGTTGATGACGCCAAACATGCCAATTGACTGTCATCACGGCGCCGAGGTTTGGTCGAGTCGTCGGTGGTTTGCAAATCTTGTGAACGCCTCAGGGGCACCTTTTCTCGTGTCAACCTCACCACATGGTGCTTGGGGGAAGCCATAGTGGTCTGCGCCCCTGAGGGAGGTGCTGAACGACTGGGAAGTGGACAGCAAGGATAAGCCTGTGAAGGAGATCAAACTGATCCGAACCGAGGCATGTTTGGCATATTTCAAGGTGCTTAGTTCCAGTTTTTTCATCGAAATATCCCCGATTTGGCCATAGATCTGGTTTTATGCCCGCATCTTTGGCACCCGCCCGGGGCCCACTTCGATCTTCCAAGTGATCCAGTGACCGACCCAGTTTCCTTTGGCCAATTGCTTTGCAGCTGCAATTTTATAACTTCTTCAGCCCCCCTCTTTGACCAGGTCTTTAAGAATCCCTTCAAAGATGTCTCGGAGGAAATGACCAAACCAAAGGAGGAGAAGGCTCTGCTGGCTGTTCTTCGATGCAACATATTTTTGCTGAGATGTTTGGAGGCTGATGGGGGGAATTACGCCAAGTTGGAACAGGGTGTTCAAGATGGCTAAAGCAGGAGATTTCTGGATTTTTCAGTCTGGAAAGTGACCTAGATCCTTTCGGCTTTCAGACCTTTTACCCCTGGTAATGAAACATGGCCAGCTGGAAAATCCCCAAGCAATAGTTCGATGATTTTCTCATGAAAGTGCCAATTTGGTTCGTGGATTTTCCCCCGGCTTCCGAGTCAGGTGGTGGACCCAGTAGCCACGTGGTTCAGCCGTGGCCCCAATGGATGCATAAAAGTAGATAAAGTGGGAACTCCAAAAGACATATTATGCCCCAGGCGTAGGCTCCCATGTAGCCGCTGTAGGTTGCATAGGCATTGGCGTAGGCTCGTTTTAGTCTACACCGCGTAGGCTTTGTGTAGACACTTGTTGGCAACAGTTAGAACTCATTCATTTTGCCTTGGTTAGTTGGAAATTTGTGGCTTGTGGTTCCAAAGCCTCATGCCACGATTGAAAACAAAAAGAAATCATGGCCGCGTGGCAAAGCCTACACCGCGTAGGCTTGCGTAGGCACCCCTTAAAAACCATATATATACCCCGCGTAGGCTACCTCATGCAATGGCGTAGCCTCAGGGTAGACAGTTGCGTAGGTTATAAGTTACTCATCGAAAGACAAGGATAAACAACACTACTACTTGTAGTACTTAAAATTGGTTGGCCAATTTGCCAGCTTTAAGGTGGCCCGCCCTGTGAGGGGTTCTTATTGCGCTTTCGAATTCCCATTGGATCGACTGATTTTCGTGGCTACATGCTGCCCTCACGATTTCCCAGGCAATCGCAAGGATCCCATGCAAGATCATCGAAATCGGCACTCCTCTCAGGTGGCACCATCACTTTGCCAAAATTGCTGTAAATCTTGGAGGTGGATTTCTGGTGGATTTCTTTCAGATCCTTCTCATCTCTCCATAGAATTCTTTGGGTACCCGAGTTGAGCCATGCTGACATTCTCGGCTTTGGACCTGGATGGCAGGTAGGAAAATACCTCCCCGACGAAATGCCGAGCCTGCCGGGGAAATCCAAGCGTCCCGAGGCCAAGTTTGTGGGAGATTACCAGAGGGATCCCAATGAAAAACACAAGGGGAATCCGGAAATCCTGGTCTTTAGGTAGGTTGAGTAAGGTTGAGCAAGGTTTCCAAGGTTTCCACAAGACCTGGATTGAACCGGTTGAAGTGATTTGAATTGTGGGGCTGCAAGGTTTGATAGAAATTCCAAAAGCCCCATGAGACAACGGTCACAAAGGAGCCTACTTTGCACGATGTCTGTCTCGTTGGAGGGTGCAATCATCGGTCTTTTACTTGGGGCCCAGAGGCACCCCAAAGGGGTGGGTCTTCAGCGCAGGCAATGCCCAGTGAAGAGATGGAATATGCCAACATCGCCCAGAAGTGGGTGGTCCCAGGGGCGGTCATGGGAAAAAATGGGGCCCTGAAAGATGGCCAAAGTTGGAAACTGGATGTTTCTGCAGCACATAGGCAACATAGATGCATGAGCCCCACATGGATGTGAGGTAGAAAATCCAAGTGTGACCAAGTGCTCGGATTTACATTGCCCGTACTTGGTGTGCACCATCTTTTGGGGAGCCTGGCAGCCAGAAATGATCAACATCCTATGAAAATGTGGAGCTCAAAAGCCAGGATCCAGGGGTATCCTCCAAATACCAAGGAGCTCCCAAACAAGTGGAGCCCCCCAGGTCCAAGCGGGCACGGACCGACTTCGACTTCTCCTCTTGGTGAGTTGGAGCCAAGCTTCAGAAAAAAATGGAGACGGCTGAGCCAGTGAAAATGGGTTGCTCTAAAAATAGGGTTCAACATTCCATCTTGTGGTTTATCATTTGATCATCATTTCCCTAATCAAGTGGACATCTTGGAGCATTTTCTTTGGTTCCCGACCAAAGAAGAAGGCTCCCGGCCCGAAACCACTGATGGACGAGCCAAGCAATGGGTGAACCCAGTAGGGAACACGACGATACCCCACTGGATTTTGGGGTAGCCCACTTTTGTCAATTTTCGGACAAAGCCATATTGTGGTAGTTGGTAGTGACAAGGATAACAGTATATAGAGGGCATCCATGTCTGGTACTGGGGGCCCATGATTGTGGTGGGCTGAAAACATCTGCACTTGCTTGCGGAGTTTTTTTTGGGAGTTATACTGGCCAATATATTGGGGATTATCATATCATGATCCATGAACTGGGATTTCCCATTGACGAGTCATTATTTTTGGGATTTTTGAGGTTCTTTCCCATGAATAGTGCATGGCCGTCTAAAACCAATGGTTGGCATTTCCCAATGGGGTTTAGGTCCTCTTGGTAGTGGATCCTAAGTGGGGTCATCCCTGTTTTTTAAATGACTTAAGTTATCAGTGTGACTAATCAGTTGCTAAGCAGGATGATCCCCCCAGTGGTTTTTACCGGGGAAATTTACCACATCCGGTACCTCTGTAAACCGCATGCAGACTCGAAGAATCTCGTCGCCCCGGCTCGGATCAGCAGTTTTTTCTTTTTTTCCCAATGGAAGGAGAAACAAAAACCATCAAAAACCAATGATGACTTTGAGAAAGAATCAAAAACGATCTGGAAATCTCTTGAGACACTTCGGAGACCATTTCTGAGTTTTTTTTGGGTAGGTGACTACTAGTTAGCAACAAACTGGCTTCTATGGAGGATTGAATTTTTGCAGATCGGGGCCAAGCAGCGGGCGTCACGTTTGGAGGCAGGGTCTTCCCAAACTGGCTGCAATGGTCATCAGTCAAAACTATGGAGAAACTTCACTTTCTTGCTGGTTCAATACCAAATAACCACCAGCGGAGGTTGTGACTCACAGATTCACATCCCAGCATAGGCATAAATTGAGTCCTTCCTAATAGCTGTAACAGTCAAAAAAAGGATTTCTTTATATTTTGTGCGCACGTTGTTTTGAGTGTTTTCCTTCGTGCACAAAATCGTGCTCTAGACTCTAGATCGTGCTTTTTGGTGCTCTCCCTCGTGCACAAAATCGTGCTTTTTGGTGCTCCCCATCGTGCCAAAAATCGTGCTTTTTGGTGCTCTCCCTCGTGCCCAAAACTGTGCTCGTGCTTTTTGGTGCTTTCCCTCGTGCACGATTTTTTGGCACGAGGGACAACAACAAAAACCACGAATTTGTTCACGAAGGAGAGCACCAAAAAACACGATCCAGAGCACGATGTTTGGACAAAGGAGACCAATGCACGAAGGAGAGCACCAAAAAGCACGATCTAGATCGTGCTCGCTGTTACAGCTATATATTAGGCTTGTGTCAAGGCATACACCATTCTGAACTCATTTTGACCGTTCTGTTCATTTCTGCGGATGGTCACTGGGGTAATTTTTGACCCATGCCTATGTGGTTTTCAGCGGTGCAAAGTGGTGCAGTTCAAGCTGAGTTCGGCATTTTGACCTGACATGAACCACACTGACGGATGGTTTCTAGACAGATTGAAAGTAGAACACCATTCAAAATTCTGGGGATGCCTGGAAGGTTGTCCATCAACATCAGGACAACAACTTCAAAAGCTTTCAGTTTCGGACTTTATGGTACCTGGGGGTGCAGTCAGGGTTATAGACGGTTATATAACCATCTTTGTAGGGGCCCCCATATCCCAACCAACATAGGGGGTTAGAATCCCAAGGTTATACCAATTTTGTCCACCTCAGCTGCACCAAGTGTCAGGAAAAATCAGGACATATCCCCCATGATGTCCTCATGAAATTTTTGGGAACCCCCCTTTCTCCCAGGAGATTCCCATTTTGGCGGGTAAAATCCATAGTTTTCCTCTCAGGGATGGGCGCCACTCTCTCCACGTGCGGAATCCCGGACCAATCAATGGCTTTGTCCATAAAAAAGTGGGTGAGGTGTCATGGAAAAATCGGATAAAAACCATCCATCATGGAGAAATAATGGTATATCGGTATATCTATAGTATAATTTGATACAAAATTATACACTATTATACATGTAATAATATCCATATAATATACACATACACATCAGTAAACAGGTGTATATCTTATTATGATATGTATATATGTATATACACATATTACAATAAGTTATATAATGATATATATATATACAATTGTATTTAAAATGGGGATACATCATACATAACCAACCACGTGATACTGGTACCCAGCTCTGAGTTTGGCCAAAAGTGAACATGGGCCTTGCCAGGCAGTACCAGGCGCTGCAGCCCAGTCAGATGCGCCTTGGCCAATGGTTCTACCAGCTGGGGGTAAAATGGGGGATGGTTTGTGGATGTTCGGCTTTGGGTTTACCACATCACAATTTGTGCTGATTTCCAGCCAGGCTGTGTAAATGATCTGGATTTGTCTCATAAAGCGGGCATCCCCCAACTAGGCCCCTTTTCGTAGGTAAATTTATGGTAAAACATGGGATGCAAAATGAGGAGATGCAATATAGGATTCCGATTTTTAGGCACCTCCATGTGAAGACTAGACTCATTGATACCCCATTTTGGAGATTTAACACATCATCTTGGAGTAGTCCAGCTGCAGACGAGTCACTTGTTTTTGGGAACTACGTAGACATGGTGAACCCCCCTGTTGAAAAGGAGCATCTTTTGCTGGCCAGCAATCCAGCTCGCCCTAGCAATTCTGAGTGAAAGATATGAGTGTGAGCCAAGAGGCACACCTGCATTTTCATTTAAATGATTAGCTCCAAGCACTAGTTTAAAGCATCGTCATTACCTTTCATTTTCAAAGACTAAGAGGTGGTTTCACCTCGGGTGGTTTCGTGGGTTCCTATGCGCATGGGTCGAACTTATCCAACATGGTCTGGTGCCGAAAATGACAACTTTTGTGGGTCCATTGGGGCCCTCATGGCTTGAACCATCGGCCCAAAAGTCGACCGTCTGACCAGGACGTCCAGAAATGTCTGGCAGCCTCAGAATGCTCCACGCAGCATAGAGCAGATGGAGGTCAAGGGTAGCTCCGCGGGAAGCTGCAAACATTGGGCTGACGATATTGTTTATATATATGATTATGTACTTATATATATATATACATATACACATATACACATACATATTATATATGATTATGTACTTATATATATATATACATATGTATATTCATATATATATATATATGTGATTATATGTGATTCTGTATGTGATATATATATATATACACATGCGAATGGAATGAACAACAAGAGCCAGCCCTACCTAAACTCTTGTCTGAATTTGAGAGGAGGTAAAAATGACTCACAGAGTTGATTTCTATATACAGCTAGTACTGGTGATGGCGGCCTGTATGTTAATAGAGTTGTTGCTTTTGGCCACAGAGTAAGACACAGTTCTGGGCACCTTTGGCTGTGTAGACACATGGATGGAGCCTGAAGATACGAATATATATATATATATATTCATATGTATACATTATACATTATATATATATCCACATATATATGTGTATATACATACATACATACATACATACATACATACATACATACATACATACATACATACATACATACATACATACATACATACATACATACATACATACATACATACATACATACATACATACATACATACATACATACATACAACATACATACATACATACATACATACATACATACATACATACATACATACATACATACATACATACATACATACATACATACATACATACATACATTCCAGTTGTAATTGGGCTTTGAACAATGAAACCACGCAAGTGATTTCAGTGAAGATGAGATTGTGTACCCGCGCAACTGATAAGCGTCTCACTGGTTTAGAGTATGCAACTGGTCGCTGCGGCCAGACTAGCATGCTTTGGCATTCCATCTTGGTCTGGGCACGGGTCCCAGCGGCATTTGAAGATTTCAATCTCCGACCTTGCAGCAGTTGAGTAGCAATGACAGAGTGACCACAAAGTGACTTGGAAGTGCATTGAGCAGTTTAAAAACCCGTGAAAATTTATGATTATATAGGGTTCTTCTCTCCAATATATTTGGGAATATCGGAATATCGGAATTCTGTATGGGAAGAACTCCTATCAGTATAAAGGGAAGACAGAGGGTTTTGAACGCTGCTCAATTGGATTAAAACGACAACGCTTCTATGAATTCACTAAGATCTGGATTGATTGAAGGAAAACGCGACAGAAAACTAGGGAGGCTTTTAGCATGCTTATAGTATCCAGGAATCCAGGACTTTCCCGATGATTCCTTGCCCATTTTTCCTTGACCTTGAAACCAAGAAACCAAAATTATTTGTTGGCCAATCTTTTGTTGCTTACACATCTCTGGGATTTTTCTGCTTCCGTCTTTTTTCAACTTTCAAATATATCCTATAACTCCTTCAAATCTTCAATTCTTGACCTTCAATCCTCACAACATTCTCCAACTTTTGCGGGTGACAGCCCCATTGTATCTGCCCTCGGTATACAATATCACCCCATCTAACTATAAATTCATGAAGTCATATCCATCATGAACCCACACGTAAACCAACAGATGTAGCGTTTCAACCAACTGGGCCAATGTCAAGCCCGGATTATGATTACACTCTATTGATTTATATTGATGTGGGGGTCAAAAGGTCAGAAAACATCATCAAAAGTGATAGCCCCCCCAACTACCCGGTCATTACCCCAAGTATTTTGTGGGGGTTACACTTAAGTTACCCCCAAAAGTCATTAAACTCTGAAAACCAGCTATAAAAATCATCAAATCCCGATTTTTGATGCTTAAGTCACCATTTTCCCATGAGTTTCCGATGGGTTTTTTCTGTGGTTTCCCATGGTGGGCCTCACCTTGCCCAGGTGGTGCTACCTCTCTGCATCGGACTGCAGGTGTTGATCCCGGCTCTAGCGCCCAGCTGTGGCAGTGGCTACACGAACTGCCGGGGCTCCCGGCGGTGGCATGCCGACAGGGGAGACATTTCGGAACAGTTTTTTTTTTTTGTTGTATATTGTTATCATCATTATTACTTTTTTGTCATCATATAGTTAGTATTTATATACAATATCATATATGTGTATATATATAGTATAATATATATAATAAAATAATATATATATATATACATACATAGAAATGAATGCGTACCCGATTTTCAGAAAACAAAAAACACATTTTTTCAGGGGCCGAATTGGCGGCACGAATTTCACAGAAAACCCGTCCATGGCTGCCGATTTGAGGCATTTTCAAATGTCAAGGATGATCTCCTTGGGATTTCCAGCAGTCCAGTATAAGTAACATGTATAGACCCTTAAATCTTCCATGTGTGCCAACAATCCAATTTGGACACCTCCAACTTTCATCTCCCACTTTTCATGAAACTAGGCCTTGCGTCGTCATTTTAGAGTGCCTACCGCAGGGTCCCTTCTCTTCATGCTATTGGTGGAGTTGCATCATCTATGGGCCGAAAGGCGGGCGTAGCACCAGCAGATGGGATGGTTTGCACTCACCGAAAGCTCTGTGGCTGGCTTTGGTCTTCAATTTTGACCTTTTGACCCAAGGGTCCCAAGGGCATGATCCAAGCTTGGAAAACCCAAATTGCTTCGTGTTTTTGATGATTTGAGTAGACCCAACTCTTCTGGAGAGATTATATAGATGGGAATGCTTAAAAACCGAGACTGCCAGAATGAGATCAACCTGCACTTTTGCTTTTCGGCATCCGGAGGAAGAGTATCTTCCTAAAATCACATCTGCCCGCGGTAATATGGGTATGTCCAAAAATTGAAGGAGACAACAATCGCTGGTCTTGAATCACATCAAGAGACCGTCGATGAGAGGATTTTCGGTGGTAGCTCTGGTTGAAAAACACATATATTGGATATAATGGACAGGAGAAACACGATAAAACAAATGGTTCTTTTACTTCCGCCGAGCAGAATCCCTGTGTGAAAACTCATTATAAGATTTATAATACCGTCTGTTTTCGGTGTCACAACTTGAATCAACTATATAAAGAGTCAACTTGACTCGACTTAGAACTAAGTGGAATAAATTTTGAATCCTCTCATTTTCACCTTTACGGTTTTCATCCGTGCCATCCTTGGGCTCCACGTAGGCGTGCTTGGAGTGGCATGAGAGATCTCATCTCTCCTCCCGAGGCCTCCGTGTTGAGGCGCCGCGTTTCGACGCGTTTCTGCCAGATGTTGGTGTCGCAGAGAATACCCTCTGGTAAACTAACATAGTTATGGAAAATCACCATTTTTAATGGGACAATCCACTATTAGTGGCCATTTTCAATAGCTACGTTAAATTACCAGAGGGTATTTGATTTACTGTAACTACCAGATTAGCTGATTGAGTTGACCCTATCATTTCTGAGATGTTTTGAGATGTTTTGAGATACAGTGAAGCCATTGGTCACATCAAGCCATTGAATTTCTATGCAGAGAACAGATGGGTGATGTTGGGGCCCACCTGTAAAGCCATCCCCAGGACGAAGCCACCAGGTCTTGTTGCTCCCGTTGGTTCCGTTGGTCCCATGCGCTTGGTGATTCTCATCTCCCCAAAAACACAGCCACCAATAGCCACCATATCCACAAAAACTAGACTTTCCTGTAACATTGCCCTCTCAAATCGATTCATCGTAATTCTCGTTGGTTTGGGTTGTCTCAAAATTGGATACCCGATTCCATCCCATGGTTTATCATCAGTTTCCCCATTGTTTGATGGCCAGGAATTTCGGGCCAAATCCCGCATAGTCCCTGACGATGAACTCCTAATGACGATCAAATCCATTTACGGCTTGAACTATCAGATTGCGTAGCCATATTAGATTCTACACAAACATTATAGTACATTATAGTACAATATGATTATAGTATGTATAATAGTACATTATAGTACATTATAGTACATCCCGTCTTTAGCCGGTGATGTCTCCATTTTGTTTGCGACATGATGTCTAGGCAGCTGGGAGTCCTTGCGTCTCGAAGGCGCTGTGTACTTCTAGGTGCACCGTTCGTCATCGCCACGTCGCGAGAGAGCATGGTTAGGATTGGGGGTTATTCATCTCAAAATCACCCAACTTTTCAGATTGGTGAATTATTACGTTTTTTCGATCCATCCATCCATCCATCCATCCATCCATCCATCCATCCATCCATCCATCCATCCTGGTCATAGCCTGAGGTACCTCTGTACCGTTTGACCAATCACAGAAAACATGTAGTTACCCCCATTGAGAAAGCCTTCATGGGTTTATTGTAAAAAAACAAATCCAGTTATGCCAGTTACCCAATTCAAAACCGCAGCCTTTTTAGTGTCGAAAATTCCACCTGCGTCTCCTCTGCGCCAGGAATTTTGGAGGATCTGGATCTTTACACTGCCCCGGCCTCACTGGCGCAGTGGACTTTGTCAGCTCTGAAAAATACAGCGGTGTAAACAAGACAGCCACAGCCCAGCAATTGGTCCAGTTCCCTTCCATCACTCCCTGGATGGACACTAAGATCACTAAGGACTTAGCGTTTCCATTCATTGCCTGTCCTGCTGCCACGTTTTTTGCGGACTTCGTCCAATTTCAGGGGGAAAACCACCCGCAAGCAGGGTCGGGGGTTATTTTCACTGCTGATTCGTATTCTTTCTTTATGGAGCCCCGGCCAAAGATCTTTGGAAAGGTTGAAGTTGGCTTTGGCGGTCCGTCTATGGGCTCCTATCCTTCCATCCTTTCCTTCCCTCAGCCAAGACCTCAAGCCATCAAACGCTGCCAGTGGCTTGTGACGATGAGCACGTGATCACCAACTTGTGGAGTGATGCATGGGACAAGGCTCCTCTGTATGGTGCGTTTTTCTTTTTTTCGGAAGATCGATGAAGCAAACTGGTGCATGGTGCAATCATGCGTTTCTTATCCGTCCCTTGAGGAGACATCTTTTGCACTTAGAAGACCATGTCTCTGGGAAGTTTGCACAGGGAATTTTTCAAGTAATCATTTTGGGGATGTCAACCACTCTCGGGGATATCTTTTTGATGGTTGTTTGCAATGATTGCGTTTGAGGGTTGTTTTGAGAGCGGCCTCAACCAGCCCCGGTTGATCTGGCAACTGCGGTTGCAGCCACCAGCCGCAGGTTCCTGTGCTTGGCCACCTGATGTCCCAGATCATCCTCACGCTGAGGTACGGATGGGCTGGAGTTCACCTACCCTCTGGTAAACTAACATAACTATGGAAAATCATCATTTTCAATGGGTAAATCCACTATAAATGGCAATTTTCAATAGCTATGTTAAATTACCAGAGGGTAGATGTGGCATTTGGGGTCATACACATGCCCCTCTTGCTTGATTCTACGCTTGTCTTGGCCCTTAAAATCCCTTTTCTCAACCTTCAAGGGGTTGAATATCAAGGCTAACGGCTCATTCTATCCCCAGCTGTAAGGCTTCTATGTGCATGTCAGTACCCAGTTATACATAGCAGACCTGAGTCTATGGTAGGTGGTTCCCCAATTTAGCCGATTTGTTTTTTGCCTTTGCAAGCTGCTCAGTATACACAGAAAAAATGATGAAATCGCGGTGGCTTCACACCCACAACAAACTGGGTCAAAGAGGCAACAAGCATGGAACAAAAACACCAGCAAACCTGGAACATATGCACCCCTATTCATGAAGAATGATGTGTATATATATATATACACATGGATGTACATCAACAATCATCAACAACAATCATAAAAACATATTCATCAAACACAATTATCAACAATAATCATCAGTAGTGATTCATCAATAATGACAATTAAAAATTAACAATCAATAGTCGTCATTACTAGTTTCATCATAAAGTTGAAGTTTTTACTGGTTCCACTGGTTTCACTCCACGTGACTACGCCACCTCAAACACGAAGAAACCACTCCATTGTCTTTCAGCCATGGCGTTGGGGTTGGCTCCGCGATTGCTAGCCTTGGCGTTGCTGCAGGAAGGTCTAGCGCAGGCTGGGCTTGGAGAGGTTTCGAGGTAAACCTCGAGGTTAGCAGATGGGGAGTAGCTAGGGCCCAGAATGAAGATGATGGCTGATGGTAATGGTACATAACAATGATGGTAAATCATTATCATCAATAGATAGTGATGATAAACCACTAGATAATCTAGATAATCATCATTGGAACAATCATGATCTATCATCTAACAATCCAGGAATTGTAAACATGAGATGATGATGATAAATCAATAGATGATTATAATGACAGATGATGATGGTAATGCATAAAATTGATAAATCAACAAATTGTGTTCTGTAGTGATAGCAACAATGATAACTTATTGATGATGATGATGATGATGACGACGACGACTAGGATAATGATGATAAGGATGATTGTGATGATAACAACGACAATAACGACAATAACGACAACAATGACAATAACCACACCACCACCACCACCACCAACAACAACAACAACAACAACAAGAAAAAGAACAAGAACAAGAACAAGAACAAGAACAAGAACAAGACCAACAACAACAACAACAACAACAACAACACTGACAATAACCAATACTACTGCTAATAAGAATCACAACTAGGAATAGTTAACAAGAACGTCTATCATGATACTATATAATGATAATAACTGGTAATGATCATCCCAATGACCATAATGACAATGATCACATGTTGAGTTTCATTCTTTGACCTTTATTTTGTCTGGTGCTTAGGGAATATCTCTACCCACGTGCAAAAACAGCCAGTTTTCAACGAACCCAGTAGTCACCTCGCCAGTAGGCAGCATTTTTTTCAGGACTCCACCATTTCGGTGTACTTCGGCTCTGGCTGTGACTTTGCCTTGTAGACTGAGTGGTGAGGTTTTACGTTGAAGGACCGTAGATCCGTGGTTGAAACATAATACATTCCCAAAGGACGACATGGATGGGGATTGAATATTGGGATCACCACTTTGAAAAAGTGAAAGCATGTTTTTCAAATTTGGGTATGGGTCAAAATCCGGATGATATCATAGGTTTTGAACCATTCCCATTTCATCGTGGAAAAGACACGGATTGTGACCTGTCGTGCTTTGTTTTCTCTTTGCTTCATGACCGTGTTCAGCCTCGCCTCTACCTGGTAGCTCAGTGATTCCCTCAGACACCAAGGCTAAAATTACCATCTGGTTATTTAGCATAGCCCTGGAAAATCACCATTTTTAAGTTCGGTAAACCATCTATTTCGATTAGGGCCATCTATACCATATACAATTACTGTAGTGTGGGAAACCCTGGCTGCCATAAACAACTCCCATTTGGGGATGGTTTAGTATACCCCGGCGACAGGAAATCACCGTGGCTCACCAGCGCCGGGAAATCGCTACCTGACAGATTATCATGAATTACTCAGTTACTCCATGATAGCCTTACAGACTGCAAGCTAAAGGGAGATGAGCACTGTATATTGCGGAGAATATGTTCAAAACTTGGCTCAAAAGGGTAGTTTCGACACTGTCGTAGGTACTTGCCAAAATGCAACGATACTCAGGCAACATTGACATTTTCCACGCTACGCTTAAGAAACAATGCGGAAAGAACGCGCCGCAACAAAACACCAAATTGCCGTGCCGCAGCGTGGATTTCGAGCAGACATCACCCCGCTACCGGAACGCATAATATAATCATGTTCCACACATACCTCCATACATCCATAAATCCATACATCCATCCATCCATCCATCCATACATCCATACATCCACACATCTATACATCCATCCGTGCGTGCATACAGGCATACCGGCATACATGCATACATGCACACATGCATACACAGATTCATTTCGATAAATGTGTTCCCTTTGTATTCTTTCAAACACATGCTGATTGTAATTCATACGATCACCCTTGCCCAGCAATTGCCAAGGCTTCTGGCACGTGCAGCACGAATTCATCAAGGCAGAGCAAACTCTGCTGGGTCGACGCCTGACGTTGAAGTCTTATCCGCGATGCTGGTCTAGTTGAAATCCTGATGGTTTCAGTTTTTAAAGGGGGAAAATCAACAACTCACCAAAAGACCAATACCTGTGGAGTAAAACCTATAGTTTCCAGTAAAAGGTTCTTCAATCGATAAAAGGAGGTTTTTTGGTTGGAACCCTGGAGCTGGAGAATCACATCTGGAAATGGACCTTAATCCTCCCATTCAGCAGTGGTTTGGACGACTACATCAACGACAAGTTGTTGGGTGCTACCCATGTCGGTTGCCACAATGCCCATATGGGTATGGATCAATACCTATTAATACCATTTTTAGTGGGATGAACATCCATGTACCAGCTATTTTGATGTGAACTACAGGGGTACAAGGTTTTGACACACTGCCATATTCACTCATGTGGGCTCATCAGCCGTGAACTTGAAGTTTGAGTTTGATTATTGACAATTGTGTGGTGACTCGCAGCTGCAACTATTCAATTAGCTCTATTGTTTGGTAACTCAATATCTTCGGCTTTCAACCATATGACAACCACCTCATTTTTTTGTGCACATCTTCATTCCATCAGTTGCATCCTTTGTTGCTTTATTTTTATTCGTCTTCTCTGACTTTGTTTGATGCTTTGTATTGAGTGGGCATATCCGAAGTACAGCAAAATCCAGCACATTCCCAGTTGCCCGGTTGGCCCCACATTGGAATGCTTTGCCACCAACTGAGGCGATTCATCCACATACACCTCACTGACAGGCCGCAAATGTGGGACAGGGTGCCTTTTTAAAAATGGCGTGACACGAAGAACACCCCATGACTTTGATGCGAAAAGGGATGACCGGCATGACCTGCAGGCTATGCCGGCGGCAACCGTCTGAACAGCTTCGGGCACGCATGTTATGGCGACTATGGCGGATTGGGGCATACCGAGGCCCTGGTGTTAGGAGGATGAGCAGAACCCTGGGGCCCCTAGAGGGCTGATATTTGGCCCATGGATGTGGGCTTCAGGATTTTAACATGTGGGATTTTGCCTTTTCATCCAATTTTGGTGCTAGTCCAAAACCTTTTTGCTGAGTGATTTTGTCTTCATCGCCCCGAATGAATTGTACTAGCGGAAATTTTCGAGGGTCTGTCTGAAAATTGGGTACAGTATCCCAGTATCCCCCAAATCCAATTGTTTCAAAAGACATGTTCAAACCGTATCAAATCGTTATTTGGTGGTATACTCCAGTTGGAAAAAACCCAGCTCTGGGGCATCCCGCTTTCTTTGTAGCGCCATTTTTCAAGGTGGTGGTGATGACCATCCCCAAGCGTCACTCGCCTGCTCCGGGCTATTCGGCGATTCATTCGGAACCGCTTCCGTGGTGAAGCTTTGGGTGTCGGCAATCGATGCCTAGGAGATTTCCGTGTAACGTTGGGTTGCCGGCTACCCGAACAGCAATGGATATCATCACTCTTCGGTCTGTTCTTGATAGGAGATCCGCACATCACATTTCCAGCAGCAACTGAGGTACCTTGGCAGACTTTGCGGTAGTCTTCTGGGATCTCTTTGTGGGCAAGAACCGCGCGGACATCATGGACATAGGTAGGCAAGGGTTGCCGTAGCACCCAAAACTTGGGAGGTTGTGACACGTCACCTGGAGAGAAGGTCGCACGGAGATACACTTCCCATCACTTCCCAATGGTCGGGTGATTCCACATCCTTGTAGTCTGACAGACACCGTGTTGGGATGTGTTGGGTTTCAAAGTGTTGGGAATTAGCACTTCCAATCTTGAGTCTTGAATCAAACATTCTAGTTGAAGATTGGAACTCAACAAATCATCGCTTGGGTGGCGCCTCCCTTCCAAAGGTGTGTTTCTCTGTTCTGCTGTGGTAAGCCCAATGCCATCCCCGAAATCAGCATAAATGGATATAAATGGTTCAGATAGATGCTGCATCCCCAATTTTTTTTCGAAAAAATATTCCACTTATGGGATTCCAAGTAAATACTAAATAATATTCCAATATATTCCAATATATCCCAATATATTCCAAGATATTCCAATATATTCCAATATTATTGGGGTTTCCCACCTTATTCCAATCCTTCTGAGTTCTGGAGGCCCCGAGTACCGCGCCGCGATTGGAGTCCCGGGCGGCTTCACCTCAGAGTATCTGCAGGCCAGCGCCGACTCTGAAGATCTTGGATTTAACATGATTTAACCATCAACAATAGGTATTTCAATGGGAATCCAAATGGGAATAAATGATGATTCATGGGAATGGTATTTATGGAAAACATGATGATTTACTATTTCAATGGGAATAAATGATGATTATATAATGTATTTGATACAATAGGAGAACAATAAGTGATTATGATAATTGACATACTTGGATTGGGCCTACTCACCTATTTCAATGGGATTCAGTAGGGATATGGTTGCAAAACCAAGCAGAATCAGCAGAATTATTTGGATGTGTCTGAAAATGGGGATGTACCCCCCAAAGTAGCAATTTTCAATCATCTTAATAGGGGACATGTTGAGTTTATCACTGGATCTTGGTACCCAATTTTCAGACAAACCGACTTGACATCTTGGAATGTTAGCCATTTTCACCCTTTGCATTTATGTTAGCCGCTTGGTGGGATAGAATCCCTTTGATACATGAGATATATTGGAGAGATCTGGGATAGGTGCATAAGATTTGATATTCAAGTCATTAGCCCATATGCTTCTGACTCATGGTCTTGAATACACTTCTGGCTCACGGGTGGTGGAAGCGAATAAACCTCCGCGAATAAACCTATTGGATCTCATTGCCCGATTTTTTTACATGTCAAAAGCCATTCATGTTGTTATCTTTTAGGTACACAACCCCTGACCCCAGGCTTTCCGAATCCTGCGCATGAAACACCTGAAAATTCCCCGGCCCAGTCAACAGCTTCAACGCCAGGTGGTGAACGCGAGCCAAGCAGGCTGGGGCGCCTTTTGTCGGGTGGGGGCGCTTGCGCCCCAGTCCAAAGATTGGTTGATGATCCAGGGGTTGGTAAATGTTCCTTTTTAGGGATTTTGAACATCACCTTCAAATATCTGTTGGAAATTATATCCCCAACACTTGGGTGATGTTCAATTGGGACATTTACCAACCCTTGTGATCCCCATGGCAATATTGGTACCAGGCCGGGCGGCTCGCGATGGCTTCTGGTTTGAGTTGAAGGTGCATGCTGCAATGTGGCGTGGGACGGGGATGGGACGTGGTTTGATGGTGACGGGGTAGTCGAAGAATGGGGAGATACTATGATTTACGGGATTTCTTGATGGGAAATACACCATGTTTAAACCAATCTATGTTGGTATCGGAAACTCGAAATGGGACATGTACCCCGATTTATGGCAATTTTAATCGGAAATATGATGATGGAATGTGGATTTGGGATATACTGTACCATATTTTCAGATAAGCCCGTGTGTTTGGGTCAAAAGTCAACCAAGAGCCAAGGAGGATCTAAGATACCTGTGGAAAAAGCGCCGAGGTAGCATCAAAATCAGTGTATTGGTGCACCAAAAACTCCTGCCTCCTGAACCAACCTCCGTTTTTCGGACTCATTTTTGGTCTTTTTTACAATGTGTTCCCGTGGTGTTCTCAGTGCTCTGTCCAGGGGAATTCCATGGGCTCTTTGTGATTCTTACAGCCGATGCGAAACGGTCCCATGAGACCATCCATGGGTTACTGGGCTAGTCCTACCCAGGATTTGTTTGCGCAAACACATAGTATGTTTGAGTGGCTGAAGCAAACAACTCATCATTTTCATCATGTTCCACAGATTTCTGAAGCGATACTTACTGTATCCCAGACTTGCAGGAAAAGAATTGCACTTGAACCATCTTGAACCATCTTGAACCATCTTGAACCATCTTGAACCATCTTGAACCATCTTGAACCATCTTGAACCATCTTGAACCATCTTGAACCCACCACTTTTCAGTCACTCGATGGTGACTTGATGAAGGTTTCCTGCGGACATTCCCAACAAACCTCTTCAGCCTTGTAGGAGGGTCAAGGCGATGACCCCGACACCTTGGGGCAGGCGCCCAAAAATCTCGGGCATTGGGTGATTGCGGTGAGTTAGAAAGAACTGGGGCAACTACTTGGGATGCAGGATTGGGTTTATCAATGTGAAAATTGAGGATTATACCATCAAAACTGGACATCTAATGGGATTTTAATGGAATATCAAGAGGAATGAACCATAGTTGGGGTGATCTTTATGGGTATAATCATGGGATTATAGTCCCCATCAGTTGGGATATGAAGCCCCTATAGCTATGGTGTTACACACCAGCCAACTATGTCTACTTTTGGGGTTTGGGATCCGTATTGGAATGGATTGGATAGGTTTGAACACGATGATTTTGCTGGGATGGCCGATGCAGATCAAACTCCATTCCCCATTTAGGCAGCAAGATGACCAGCTCGCTGCAGGCTTTGGTCTGGGTCTATGATACTGAGAGATATCCCTTTTATCAGGCAGGGGCAGCTCGGAGACGAGCATCCAATTCAGTAGCTGTCCTAGTTTGGGGAACCTGGATGACCCTGGAAGTTTTCTGGAAGTTTTCTGGAAGTCCAAGAGGTGCCTTAGTGTCCCCAATTTTGGAAGTTCTGTTCAGCTTCAGACAAAGGCCGTGGTTATAGTTAGCATGCCTGTTCCTTTCACATCCTTTCACAACATAAACCATCTTTGCGTACATATTGATGTTATACAATGTTATACATTCAGCCTCACTTTTCCAGAGCTTCCTAGAATTTTGACATGGTTTACATGAAACGTCTTTGAGCCTCGGGCCATCAACCAGCATCAACCAGCATCAACCAGCATCTTTCAGCAGAGTCGCCAGGCGGAAATCTACCATCAGTTCCATGACGACTTCATGCCTGGGGGCAACTATCCACAGAGCTACAACGCGCTGCTTGGCTTGGTCATCCCGCGAAGCCACGAATCCCGGTCAGCCGGTCATCTTGAAAAAGACAGCTAAGCCACGGCTTTCGTTGACATTCCCAGCGAATCATTCCCAATATGGTGTAAAACCTAAGTGGGAATGCGATTGGAGGTAAACACTAGATAGCACGGATCGTGTATTCCATTCCCGGGATCAAAATTCCGAGGCTCCAAACTGAGCTGTTGGAGGATGGGCGCATGGTGCGGACTCAATGCCATAGGGACCAGGTGAGGATGGCTTGATGGGTGCCGGGTTCAGAGGATTTTTTTCGAAATCAAAGTAGGTGGTATTTCTGCAGATCTGTTTTACAGAAAATGATGATCTCAAATCCAATCTGCTCCGGCGCAAAATAGGGAGTTGAGATTTCCGGCCGTTTATAGACCCAGCTATTTGCTATCACGCCGGGTTTCAGGGATAGTTCCACTCCACTTAGAAGTACACTTGGCTTGATGGTCCCTGCCAGATAGATACAGAAAAACCAAACACAAAGGCTGTAGGTGTCTCTATATGCTATATATCTATATATTAACCTGCAGCAATTCACACAGACACACACACATCATAGATCTAAATGGCGTATATAGTAGATGTACCTACACATTATCTATCTATCTATCTACCTTATCTATCTATCTATCCATCTATCTATCTATTTATCTAATCTAATCCAATCCAATCTAATCTAAATCTAATCTAATCTAATCTAATCTAATCCTATCGTATCTTATCGTATCTGATCTTACCTTAATCTAATCTAATCCAATCTAATCCAATCTATCTATCCATCCATCCATCCATCCATCCATCCATAGATTTAATGATATTCATGAGGTATACAGATGTACTGTACCTTCTTTTCCCAGTGAGATGATTGGCAGGTGGAGTCCAGCGCAGCGTTTTATCCGATGATCCTTGTGGGGATGCTGGCGGGGGAGACCCAGACATTCCACCCTGGCGCAGCCTTCAAGGGGCGTTTGCAGGCAAAAAAACCATAGGGGTTTGTATATATATATATATATATATACACATACACATAATATATACATGTAACCATATATCATTATATATCTATATATATCTATTTGTGAGAAAATATGATGTCCTGCAGATTTTCCCTTGAAGCACTGAATCGCCCCAGGTCAGCCAAATCTAGGGCGCAAGGGAGCGATTGGGCGGTTTAAACGCGCTGCGCCCAGAGGCGCGCGGTGGGGAAATCTGATGGTTCATCATTGATCAGATACCCTCTGGTAATGACTAACATAGCTATTAAAAATGGTGATTTTCCATAGTTATGTTAAATTACTAGAGGGTATATGGTGGAAAGATATGATGGGTTTCATTTATCAACATCATTTATCATAAAAAGACCATCAGATGGTTGATGGTCAACACATCTGATGATTGATGAATCATCAGAAAACCTAGATGTTGATACAGATGTGTTTTTTTGATGGTAAATTTGATGATAAGCTGCAAAACCCCCATGATTCTGAACCCCCGGTGCAAGCCGACCCAGGATTTCTGGCCAGCACCGCCAGGCTGGGATCCCCTGCTGTTGGAGCCGAAAATGCCACGAATGCCAACCATAGGGGTAGAAGCGGCTCTCCAATTTGAACACCAATTTTGGAGGACGAGGATGAGCCAATCTGGTTTTGTAAATTTGAAACGACCAATGTCATGAATGGGGGAGTTGCAGACCAGTTGGTGCAGGGAGATTCTCTAAATCTTCACATCTGGTGCAGGCCCAGTCCCAAGAGTATCGGCGCCTGACAAGGGAAGGAGGAGGTCGCAGCTCTTGATCCAAAGCCAGCCATGAAGGATGCCGTTTTGTAAAGGGAGATAAAAGAAGTATGTTTTTTTCTTTTTCCTCTCTCTCTCTCTCTATGATATATATATATAATTATATATATACACATGTAACATATGTACGTGTGTGACTATATAATATAGATATATAATGTACATATGTGGATCATTTCTTTGGGATTTGGATCCAAGAAATCGGCATTCTTTCTGATACCTCACTCGGCATCATGTCCCTGCGGGTCAACGGCGTTCGTTGTAGCTAGGCATGGAGACTCGGATAGACTCGCCTCGTCTGGGCGAACATGGAGCAACCATTCAAAAGCATCCCAGTTGAGTAGTGGTCAGTTGACATCCGTTGGCATTTGGATTGATAATAGCCCTTTGCAACCAACAAGCAGAACAAAGCCAAAATAGGATTTGAAAGTTGTCGATTTCTCCAATCGTTGCATTTGCCAGCGATTTTCCGTTTGCTACCTCCGGAAAAACAGGTGGCTGCCCATGACAAAGAGTGTCGTAACATCATTACCTACGGAGAATTACGGATAGAAGCTGTTGTTTTCCAAGGAGGTGACTTGACATGAAAGCGGCGTGAAAAGTGGTTAGTTCCATATTACCTGTCAGCAAAAGCCATCCTTCAAGCAAAATTGCAGAGAGTCTCCAGGCAATTGAGCAGCGGAGCAGCCCAGCGTTTCTGCCATTTCTAGTGTTTGGAGGGACCACCAGGTACACATTTGGTCTGATGCTGAAAGATGCTGAAAGACGTTGAAAGTCGACCAGAACTGGCCCCCTGAGTTTCCCGTCATTCCGGAGAAACTCATTCCAATCACCCGTGACGGCTTGCCCTCCTCTCAGTTTTGTTGAGCCATCCACTCTCCAAAGGAGAAGCTTCCGCACCCATCCACGTGGTGCGGATGGCTCAAAGCTGGCACTTGTAAAGATGAGCCAACTATGGTGGGACCTTCGACTGGAAAGCTGAACTGATGAATCTGTCAGATTTGAGCATTTCAAGGGGTAACACATGTAGTTGTGATCTATAGAAGGTCAAAGAATATGGTATTACAGGTAATTCAATGACCGTGCTCCAATATCTAGTTGAAATTGAAGAGCTGAGCAACCTCCAATATCATTCTGGTCCAACCGCTAGGTTGGGTTTATTGAGGTTGTGCATATAGGACCGGGGTCTTCTTCACAATATGCCCTCTGAATCGCTTTCAAAAGTGCGTCGAAGTTCCTGAGCTTGATTTTCGCGCTGTGGCAGTGCGTATGTTATGGCACCCAATTCAGCTGATCGCTTTGACCTGGGATCGAAAGCTGTGAGGGAAACGTCCGTGGACTCAATTTTTGCGTACCCCAAGTCAGGGTTTCAAGCTGGTTATATTGATATGTACATACATTGGGAGAAGTGAAAACCTTTGATATTTTAAAAACATCTTGGTATCAATTTGCCATCATTTACCAGCTATATCAGCTATATTATGAAGATCCATGTGCCATTATTTACCAGCTACCATCTGGTAATGTTCACATAGCCATGGTTTTTCGATGGCCCTAATCGAAATAGATGGTTTACCGAACTTAAAAATGGTGGTGATTTTCCATGGCAAACTGTTAGTCATAACCAGAGGGTATATTCCCTCAATCATCATTAGTCATCCATTAATCACCATTATTAACCAATATTAACCCATATTAACCATGGTTAACCATGGCTATGTTAAATAACCAGATGGTATATCAGCTCTTCGATTTGTGAAACCAGATGGGATTCCATGGATTTTGACGACCAGATTGGCAAAGATTTCCGTGGCCACCAGATTTAAAAAAACGCCCATAGATGAGCTAATGCCACTGATCGCAATTGGCGTTGTTTCTGTAACGAGAATAGGCATTTACATATACACTTTATTTTACATTAATATATATATATATGAATCTACACATGTATATATATATAATCTATAATATAATTATATACATGTATGTATATAGCACATATTTGGATGTATACAATACATACATGTACATACAAACTTTCATACACATTTTCATATACGTTTACATACACATTTCTTACACACTTTACACAGCTGTATAAACATGAATACATAGCAATACATACATATCACTATCAGCAAAGATCAACACGCATGCACAAAGATCCGGTGTTTCTCCCACAGGTTCTTTGGTGTGGCGCTCATCGCAGTGGGTCTCAATGCCCCTTGGAGGGTTGGGAGATCCCCGAACAGGCCATGGCTTTTCGGACACGGGGAGTTGGGAAGTGAAAAAAATCAGGGTGTTCAGGGGATGATCGACAATCTCAGATGGGGTTAGTGGATTCAAACATGTCTGATTTTCCATCGAACGTTTGCAGATGGTTCGCAGTTGACAGATTTTTGTTCACCAGCTCCTAAGGTCCTTGCAGTCTTGCCAGTAAAGGGAGTTGTCCGATAATGGGGAACACCTCAAACTTGTGGCAATTTTGATAGGGAAACGAGAATCACCCGCGCGATTTTGGGGTACCATCTTGGATGCGACCAAGGTGCAGGTTGTGGCCAGCCGGATGATAAGACAGGGCATGCGGTTTTTAATTTCGATGCGTTTGGAAGCAATGAATCCTAGGAGCAAGTCACAACATGAGAACCATGCTTCTACAGTACGGTATTTTCTCCAGGATGGGTTTAGATGGGACATTCCTAGAATTCGTGGGAAAACCTGCAGGAAAAACCTATCTCAGGGGATGGTTTCCCGTCAAGATATTCCCTTAAATCAACCCATAGGCGTTCCTGGTGGATTTGGGTTTCTTGGAGTTTCCCCTATGGTTTGTGAAACCAGCTAGATATTAACCAGTTGGGACTATGAAACAAATAAGGATAGCTTGTTTTAGCGGGGAAAGTGATCAGACCGTGAGATCCGGGGGAAGGGCATTCCTAACAATGATTTTCAGAAACCCCCGTTTTGTTGGTTGACCCCCAGTGAAGTGACAAAAGCCTCAGGGGGTCAAACATGGGCTGCCCATGTTCACCCGCTGAGGTTGTTGTTTCAGGGATCACAAAGATCTTTATCATGATGGCGGCAGAGCGAAGCTCAGGGTTTTCATCGGTCAGGGGATCAGGGGATGCAGGGTCAACCCCTGCAACAACTCGTGACTCAAGGAAGCACCCTCCGTTGATGTGGTGGCGTTGTATGTCATTGACATTTTGTAGACTCTGGAGCAAAATGTTGATTCAACATGATTCAACAGAATTTCCACCTAGAGTTTAGGAAAGCGTTTAGGATCCATACCCTCGGTGGGGCAACTATCCTGGAAGGCGAACATTCACCACATTCCCAGCAGCTTTTCCTGCTGGTAAAAGATGAGATTTTCCACCATTTCCAGAAGATTTTTCGGACAAATGCGGATTATTCCATGCGAGCCACCGCAAAAACTCCGGCTACCGGAAACATGCCAGGGACGGACACTGGGTTTCAGAAAATTCTACAAACAGGAGGTAAGCCATGGATAGCCATGGGACCTTCCAAAATTTGGTGATGTCCTTTTCGTTAACCCAGGCGCTCACGCATCGGGACTCGATGAAACTCTGGGAAGCGCCCGTGGGCCCAGCCGTGAGAATTTGAGGTTGTAGTCCAAAGGTCTAAAAAGATGGGATATGCCATGATACAATGATATACCTCCACATAGCAAATTGCAAATTTGGGGATCATCTTCCGAAAAATCCTTGGAGTTTCGGGGCCACACAAGCGGACACACCTGTAGTTCATCGTGGGAGGATCATCCGGCGAATTTCCAGCGACGAAGTCCTCCAGTTCATCATGGTGGGTGAGTTGTCGCCATGGGGATCCATGGACCAAAAAATGATCAAACATGTCTATGGCTCAACTTGATTGATTGAATTGATTCAACATATTTCCCAGATTGGATGGTTGGAACATGTTAGAAATCTGATCAGTTCTACTTTTCATTGGTGCCCATTGGTGCCAGGGGTAGACCTACTGTATGACAATTAGTTCTCATCTAGTTGGTGGATTTTGTTCGATGAAAGGAAAAAGGACCATGGATTTGGAAGATGAGAGTTCCAGAAGAAAAAATCACCATTGGAACATTTACATCTAATTGGGTCATCGAACATTGTTGTTTCCAATTTTCCACTGCACTGGTAGTTGCTGAGGCAACAATGGCGAATCCCCACAGAGGCGTTCTTCAGTTGGGTCACTGGACTGAGAAAGTGAAGGAAATTCGTCTTGAAGGAGTTTTCTAGAGGCTACCCCAAAAATCCAAAGGCGGATAGCCAAGGAAGCACACCTTTTGGTCCAAAGGACATGGACTTCAGGTTCCAAAAGATGTTCTTG